AAGCTCCTCTGGGTCCCCACCGTGTGCCGAGGGGACAGCCACCAGGGATGTCCCAGCCACCCCAAATCCCTTCCCTCCCAGCCTGGGGACATCCTCCATTAGCAGGGTTAAAGCCAAGGGATTTTCCCTCGCAGAAATTAAATCCCAAGCAAAAAATGCCTTAAAATAAAAGGTTAGAGGTGGATGAAGTTTTGTCTGGATTAAGTTGGGAGTTTTTCAGGGAGCCAGCTGGAACCACAGAACTGATGGGAAGCTTTCACAGGTGGGTCACACTGCAGGTGCCCTGAAGTCAGGGATGTGCATCTCTTTCCTCAGAAAAAAGAATTCCCAGAGGCCACTCCTGAGGCTCTGGAATGAACTCGGCTCCTGCAGGGAGGGATGTGGGCACAGGAGCTGCCTCAGCACGGCCAGGAGTGCGTCTGGCCAGCGCCTTCTCCTGCCCAAAAATATCAACTGGAGCCCGAGCTCAGGGGTGGAATCTGCTGAATTCCAGGGAACTCTGTCAAGTGCCCCCCAGGGACATGGGTGGGACTGGGGGATGAGGGTTATAAATAGCAAATTCTATGGAATAGAAACCTGTCCTTGTCCTGATCCCACTGAGCTTCTTTGGAAGCTCTGCTGGCTCCTGACACCGCTGGTGTTAAACAGGCTCTGCATGGGAATATCCACACTCCAGGAGGCACTGTGAGATTATTCCAGCAGGAATTCAGCAGGGAGTTCAGGGCTGTAGCTGTAATTCATCTAAAATAGCAAAGATGAACTCCAAATCTGGAGTTTTGTGCTGCCCTGTCAGCCAAAGCCCTGGGCTGGGAAATTTCAGCAGCCAAATGCATGGAATTATCTACATGGACAATCCCATCACCTCCATCTGATCCCAGCGTGTCCCTTCTGTGCCCCACAGGTGCCCTGGGGATGCCAGGGAGGTTCCTTTGCCCACAGTGCCTTTCTCCTGCCCCAGGCCTCCTCCCTTCCCTGCCAGCTGCTGCCAAGGAAGGAGGACACAGCAAATCCCAAATTCACCTCAGAACAGCCATTCCCTCACCTTGAGATTCCCTGAGATTCTCCCCCAAAATTTTCCCTCTCTGTCCCCTTCTGATTTCTTAATTTTTTACAAGAAAGCATTCTCTCTCTACTCTGGAGATTACCACAAGCCTTACTCCCAAAATTTTCCCTACCTACCCTATTTCCTCATTTCTACCTCAGTATTTTTATTCTTTACTTCACGGATGCTTTCAATTTTTCCTCCCCCATAATTTCCCTACCTGTCCATAACTGATTACCCCAGTTTACTCCATGAAGTGCATTATCTCTGCTACAGATCACTTCAGATTTTACCCCGGAAATTTTCGCTATCTCTCCACCTCTGAGTACCTCATTTTTGCCTCAAAATATTCATTTTCTACTGTGGAGATTCCCTCAATTTTATCCCTAGATTTACCCACCTGTCCACAGCAATTTCCTTAATTTACCTCAGGGTGTTCCTGCCCTCTCCTAGAGATAATCTCATATTTTACCCCCTCAATTTTCCTTACCTGCCCAATACTGATTACATCCTCTTTACCTCAAAATATCCATTGTTTCCTTTACAGATTAACTCTGATTTTTTTACCAAAATGTCTATTTTGTCCCCTATTTACTAACTAGGTTTTAAAACCAGAACCGCACGGGTTTATGTCTCTTTATCCTCAAAATGTTCATTCTGTCTTCTACAAATTTAATCAGATTTTTGCCCAAAAACCACTTCTTGTTCCTACATAATTACCTTAGGGTTTGCCCCCTAAGTTCTACCTAATGTTGATTACTGATCACCTCATTTCTACCTCATTATTTTCATTCTCTGCCCTGCAGATCTTCCCAAGTTTTACCCCCCAAATTTTCCTTAACTGTCCACAACTTATTACTTCATTTTTACCTAAAATATTCTCAACCTTTAGATTATTTAGCGTTTTGCCCCCCTAAATTCCCCTACCTGTCCACTACTGTTCTCCTCATTTTTCCTTCATTATTATTTACTTTCTATCACGTAGCTTTTGTCAAGATTTATCCTCAAAATTTTCCCTACATGGACACAACTCATCATCCCATTTTCCCCTCAGTGTTAATTCTCTGCTGTTGAGATTTTGTCAAGTTTTGCCTTCAAAATTTTCCTTACCTGTCTATTGCTGAGTACTTCATTTTTACTCCAAAATATACGTTCTGTCCCCTACAGATTACACTGATTTTTTTATTTGATCACACAAATTATTCCTTCCTGTACAATATTATCTTAACTCTTTTCTACCCCAAAAATTTGCATCCTCTCCCCTAAACATCACCTCAACTTTTCCCTTAAAAATGCCACCTCGGTCCCCTTGACATTCCCTCACATTTTCCTACACAAACAATTCTTGTGTCCCCTCTCAATTACCCCTAAAAATGTCACCTCTGTCCCCTCTAAGTTACCCCAGGTTTCCCAGTTAGGAGCTGCAAGGAATTCAGGCAGGGCAAATGACAGCAGGGAACAGCTGTAAATTCAAAGGCAGAAAGAGAAGATCTACCAGCAAAGGGGAAAGGTTTCAGAAAACGTTTATTCAATTAATTAATAAGTAATTATTTCCAGTTTCCCAGTGAGGAGAACACGAAGTCACAGCCATTAAAGCCTGACAGTGCCCTGCAGCAAGAGCTCAGCACACATCCAGAGAGGCAATTCCAGCGTCTGAAAAAAAGAAAGAAAGGAAGAAGAAAACGATGATTTCTTCTCTTTCAAAGTTATTTCAAGTTCTCAGACTCCAACCAACCTTTGTTCTTGATTTTGGCTGGGTGAATCCTGAGCTGTGGGCAGCTGTCATTCATGCTGATGGGAGTGATCATTCCTGGGGGAAATCAGCTGATTCCCAAAGCTCACTGCCTGTCCCATGCCTGGTTCGCACAGCAGGAAATCTCTTCCTTGAAGGGATTTTGCTCCATCTCATCCCATCTGCCCAGGCTGTTGCACGGGGATGGTGCCAGGCTGGGGCAGCTCTCAGCACTCCCTGCTCCAAACACAGCTCTGGGCTCCTTTGCAAACTGCCTCTGCCCTGAGGTTTTCTCCAGAAGAAATCAAGGAATGGCTCAGGGAAGGGTGGAGAATAAGTTATCACAAAGGGAAGCAAAGGATCAATATTCCTGTAAGAGCCTTTGGGATCTGCTGGGCTGAATTGGGAAGGGGACATTCATTCCCTGCAGTGCAAATACACAACAACCTCCAACACAAAGCACAGACTGACAGGTGGGGTCTGAAAGCACCGCTTTAACAAACCTCGTTGTTATTCTTCTTTTCAGGGATTTCTGCAATCAAACTGACAAGCCCAAATCTCTCTCTGGCTGCTCTGGAACAGAAGGATTCTCCCAGGGATGAGGCACATTCCCAGCAAACGCTCCCACCACGGCACAGAGGCACCACTGGAGCTCGTGTGTGGGGCTGGCAGGGCTGCCAGGAGGATGCAGCCCCCAGGTGGGGTGGCAGTGGCAGTGGCAGGGGCAGTGGCAGCAGCAAATTCCCACAGGCTGATGGCAAAACAGAGAGACAAAGGCCAGCAATGCCCACAGGAGCTGCGGGTTTTGTTCTGATCCCTGTCACATCCCGGCAGGAAATCTCCAGTGGGGACAGAAACTCTCAGGGTGCACAAAATGCAGCATCTGTCACCCTGATCCTGCTTAAACTCAGCGTGTGGGGCCAACCCCCACAGGGAAAAACTGACCTGGCCTGGATCAGTCCCAGACACTGGCCCAGTTGTCACCTCCCGGGGCTGCCACCACATTCCTGACAAGGTGCCAGGCATGAGCACAGCCCCATGGCTCCATCCAGTTCCTCCCAAACCTCCCCCAGGTCTGTGCCCTGGCCAGCCCCCAGGCTGTCACCCAGCCCTGCAGCATCCACGCCTGCAATCCAGGAATTTTTCATGCTGGAGTCTGCTGCACTTTCCCCCTTCAGTGTTCATTTCAGGAAGCAACAAACCCATCACAGTGCAAGGGAAAAAAAAAAACAGGAAACATTTAAGGAATGTTTTACTCATACACTCATCACTTTACCCCTCACAACCACCCCAGCATGAAACAAGACATTCATTCAGGAATTAGTGTTCAGTAGCTGCCATTGGAATTTTAAGGGATATCAGCTTGATAAATATGTGGGGAATTCCACAACACGTTTTCCTTCCCCATCTGTGTCAGCATCCAGCACAATTCCCTGTTCCTGTTTGGTCCCCAGGAGCTGCAAGAGGAATGTCAGTCGTTGGCTTCACCTCCTCGGCGCCGCCTCGTTAGTCCAGGAGATAATTAATTCGAAGAGAATTAATCTGGTCAGTGGCAGAGGATCATCACAGCGAAACATCATCTTTGCCACAGGATATTCCTGCTCCTGTAACCTGTTCTCTGATCAAGAACTACTTCACAAATTCCAGCAGCACAGTTTGAAGGGACAGAAGTTTTTTTCAGCCTCGTGTGAGAGAAGACAGAAACTTCACTGGGAGAAAATCGTGAAGTTTAAAATCCTATTCCTCATTTCTTTGACTAATGAACCTCTTAAAATCTAGTCTGGATTGTGCAGAAAAGTTCCTTGGTCCCACATGGAAATTGATCTCCCAAAAAGGCATTTATGAGTTATTACAACTGATTCCATTAATTACTACAGAAAAGAGAGTACAAATAAACTGGAAAAAATTTGGCTCAAGTTTTCCATTCAAGGAATGAATTGGGAGCTCACCAGCAAGGCTTTCCAACAGGCAGAGTGAGTGATAAAAAATATATATGTGCATATATATATTATATATAAATAAATATATATATATTTATACACACACATATAAAAATATATAATACGTATTTATACCACACATCTCACGTATATCTGCCATATACATATAACCACAAATATTTTTATATCACAAACTCTACCTGTAACTCCCCACATTCTCCCCTTTTTTTCAGGAATGTAACATTTTTAGGGACCCTAAAATCAAACACATGCAGTGCTGCACAAAGGAAAATAAACCACGATTTTATCCCATTCATTCCAAGATGTTTTCCTGGATGTGCTGCTGGGTGTTTTCCTGTAACCTCTTGTTCCTTGTCCATGAAGTGTGCTTGGAATTGTCAGGATAGTGAAATCCATTTGGAATTTTACTGTCTCTGCAGTGGGATGAGTGTTTCCAAAATTATTCCTCCCAGACTGAGCGCATCTCCTGAAGCTCCTTCTCACTTTCTGCATCCTGGAAACGCAAGAGGGAAATAGATAAATTAAAGCAAATTAAAAGCACCATTTCCCTTCTTTTTCTCCAACCCCTAACCAGCTTTTATGGATATTGTGGAGTCTTGGAATGGTTTGGGTTGAAAAGGACTTTAAAGTCCATGGGCAGGGACACCTTTCACTATCCCAGGCTGCTCCAAACCCCATCCAGCCTGGCCTTGGACACTTCCAGGGATGGGGCAGCCACAGCTTCTCTGGGCACCCTGTGCCAGGGCCTCAGCACCTCACAGGGAAGGATTTCCTCCTAATACCTGATCCAAGCATAATCTCTTTCAGTTTGAAGCCATTCCCCCTTTTCCTGTCATTCCAGAGCCTTGTACATTGTCTCTCTCCATCTTTCCTGTCACTGGAAGGCCACAATTAGGGGACCACGAGCTTCTTTATTCCAGTTCTCTCAGTGCTCCATCCCTCCAACTAACTTATTGTCCCTCCTCTGGATTTGCTCCCTGTCCTCCCTGTGGGGCACAATCCATTTTTGCTCCCTGCTGAGTGTCACCTCTTTGGTGTTCCCTGGCAGCTCTGAGGCGAGGTCCATCCACAGCAAGGCTGCTGAGGCATTCCCAAGGTCCCTGTAGCACTGGGAAGAGAAAATTGCATCGGGAGAAGGGTTAAATGGGAAAAAACAGGCAGCAAATGGAACTGGGCAACTGCTCAAAAGAGCTGTTCCTGCCTCTTAACCCTCTGCACTGCAGCATCCTCAGCCACACGGCCTCAGAAGCACCACCAGATCTTGGAATACTGAATATATTTGACTCCCTTTCATTCTGGGGAAGGAGACTGGGTTTTGCTTGGACATTTGAAGGTGTCTCTGTGGTTTTCAACCTTTTCAAAGCTCTGCTTCGATTTTCAGTTGCTATTTCCTCTCTTCCTCACACCATTTTCTCCACAAAACCTCTCTGCTGGCAGCACATCGTTTCCTAGCCTGCTGAAAATGTAATAAATATTATCTACAGGAGTCTCAGGTCCCAAAATAGCTATGAAATATTCTCCATGTGACCAGAAGCTGAGGCACAGTGATCCCTCAGGGAACAGGAAGATTTTGTGTGCCCAGAGAGTCTTGGAGGTATTTGGAGACCATGAAATGCATCCAGGAAGAGGAAGCTAAAAATCCCTCAGCAAGAGGGCTCAAGACTCCTCTGATGGACAGGAAAAGAGAAATACTTTATCCTTTACCTCTCCCCATGATTCTCTGGTGTATCATCACAGAAGTCATGGTGGTGAAGGATTAAACCTCCAGCCCATGGCTGCCAAGTTCCTGCTTTATACAGAATTTAATCTGTTAAAAACCAGGGATGCTCCACTGGGTGACTCAAAGGCAAAACTCTTGAATTTTAAAGCCTCTGCACCAGGTGATCAGGCCTAAAAAGGTTTAGAAGATAAAAGGAAATATCATCCTATAAAATCTTGCTCCTGCATAGAGTGTTTTCCACCTAGTCAGCACTTTATAGCCAAAGGTGATTTTTAATACAAGTATTTGTTACCATCTGAACAAAGAGGAAGTGAGTGGTTACCTTGGCAATGTAAACTCTTCCTGCTTTGGAAAACCCTGGGCTCAGCTCCTCGACCTACAGGAACAGAGGGAGGGTGTGACAGGGAAGAGCAGACATTAGGATATGCAAGGACACAGTTAATTCTTATATCAGGAAGCTTTTAAAGGAAAAAAAACCAGATGGCAGGAGAATCTTAATAAATATATAAAGCACTATGCCCCTGAAACCTTCAAGCAGTTGTCTGGAAAAGTTTGAAATGGAAAAGTCAGCCAGGCTTTAAGTAAAATATTCTGAGGGAGAAGCTCCCAGCTCCCAGGCCCTGGAAGCACAGCCCAGATGTATCCAGCACAGAGCAAGGAATCACTGTGCAGCCTTAGGAAGGAAAACCAACCCCCCCAAACCAATCCCCAACACTTGGGGCTGTAATTCTGACATTTTCATCATCCCATTCTCTTGTATGGCTGTTCTAGAATTGATGCTTCTCAGCTTTCTCTCTCACCAGCTTTCCTTCCACCCAGGTCCCATGGGAAGCACCAGGAGGGATCCAGGCACCCTCTCCCATCCGTGTGGGCTGTGCAGGGCAGTGATGCCCTCTCCTGGCAGATTCCCAGATTTCCATACCCGCAGGAAGTTCTGGAGCGCGTCCTGCACCGTGGCTGTGGGAGGGGCCTCGAACAGCGCTGACACCGTCCTCTTCTCCAGCCAGCCCAGGTGGGCAACCTGCAGGGAGAAAAGGGCAACCTGGCCCATCCATCCCACCCCAGCACAGGAACAAGGACCTGCCCAGTCCCTGGGAGCTGCTCCTGCACCCGGGAGGAAGCCAAACCCCTCGGCAGTGGTGGAATATTCCCATGGAGTATCCAAGACTATCCACAGAATTCAACCGATGTGGTTTCCCTCTTCCCAAGTCAGCTTTTGCAGTTCCAGACATCTGGGATTTGGATGGTCCCAAATCCCAACCTGCCCTGCTGCATCCACACCAGTCCCCACCTGTGCCCTCCCTTCCACAAGAACCTGCTCTCCCCACCCTGAGATTCCTTGGGAGAGGCAGGCTGAACCCTTCCCCCAGATAACCATGGGATCACTTAGGTTGGAAGAACCCTCCCAGCCCACGGAGGCCAATCTGTGACAATCCCCACCTTGTCACCCAGCCCAGAGCACTGAGTGCCACCTCCAGGCGTTCCCTGAACACCTCCAGGGACGGGGACTCCAGCACCTCCCTCTGACAATACCTTGTTTAATCCTGTATAATTCTAACAATGCAGACTAGGATGAAGCACGACCATACTTCTCCATCCATGGCTTTATTCCATGGCTGCAGCACTTCCAGGCTGAGTTTGAAGGAAAGTTCTTTTTCCACACAGGAAAAGAGCCAGGAGCTCCCAGCAGCTCAGCTCAGGGCTGCTCTGTAATTCCCACTGCCAATTATCCCAGTCACAATCTCTGCACCGTGGCCCCATTCCCAACAAAGTGCTTTCCAATGGCACAAATGGAACAGCAACAGTCACTGCAGACTTTTATTCCCTTTTTTAGGCTCTAAATCTGATTGATGGCATCTGACTCCAAGCTTTTCCCTGTCAGGAAGCATAAAGCAGCTGGTACATACAGCCAGTGTGGCAGGGGGACACATGCAGCACATCAGACACCAACCCTGTGAGCAGAAGCTCCTCAGATGGCCTTGGCCACAACCCTGTGTGCTCAGAGGATGGAAGGAATGTTGTTTTTACCGAGTAAAGCACTGGGAACAGCAAAGGAGTTTGCAGCTCGGGCTTCTCCTAACCCATTTCACCTCCCATGCCACCAGCAGTGACTAAAAACCCAAAGGTGCAGCTCTGAACCCTTCAGAGGCCTGAAGGAGGTGATAATAAATAAACTCTCTTACCTGGTAACACCACCTGCCCAGGAGATAATAGAGCTGTGGGTCCTGTGGCTTCAGGGCAATGGCTTTATCAATGTGCTCCTGTGGGAAAGCATCACCAGCAGTGTCACAGCTTTGTCAGAAGCAAATAAAATACCCACGAGAGCAGTGGAGAAAGAGGAAAGGAAGAAATCCACAATTTAAGTGTCACAATCAGTAAAGCTGCAGACACAGATCCTGAATTTTCTTAAGAGTGGATTCAGTGAGCAAGGAAAAGCAGCGTTTCTCCAGCCTCGGGGACAGGAATTACTGCACACACTCACAAAGCAGCTGCCTTGCATTTTATTCCTGCTCTAGAGCTTTGCCATAACCTCGCTGATCATGCCAAAGGAAACAATTACCTGTGGCCTGTTCCACGTACATCCTTTTCCCCTGGAACATCCACAAGGCATCATAGCAATAGTAATAATAATAGGAATAAAAAAAAAAAAAGGGAATCTGAGGGAAATTAAATCCTCTTTGAGCAGTAACTGCTTCCTGGGAGGGTGTGGGCTGTTCACAGGCACTTACTGCAGACAAGCTGGTGCTGTATCTTGTCACCACATAATAATTCCACGTTTCAAGCTCTAAGTCTCATCCTTTACCTAAATTAATTTGCAAGATTTTTTTTCTGCAACTACTGTGTGTAAAACTGCACAGTCAGCCCAGTCACTCCCAAAAGGCAAGGCTGGAATCAGCCTCCTCACCCCAAACCATCCACTCGTGGCACCTCTGAGATCTCCTGCTTCCCTAAGAAGAACTGGAGCCAATTTTCCCATTTTCCTGCTGCAGAAATGAATGTTGTTTGATACTCACACAAAGCCCAGCACCTCCTGGCCACTCACCTTGAAAACATATCCAGCCTGGATGCGTTTGGGAATGCTCTCCTGTTCTGAAACCCGCCCACAAAGGATGGCAAACCTGCATGGGGAAACACCTGCATGAGCCAGCTGGGGTTGAATCCATATTTAATCCATTACCTGCTGTCCACAGCTGCAGAAGGAAGGTCTATGAGTGCTCAAAGCCAGGCTGGACAGAGCTTGGAGCAGCCTGGGATAGTGGGAGGTGTCCCTGTCCATGGCAGGGGTGGAATGGGATGAGCTTTAAGATTCCTTCCAACCCAAACCTGCTGGAACTTAGAAACTTGGGATTTTTGAGTTTTTTGAGTTTTTTGACACTGACCCTCAGGAGAGTACTGGTTTTGATTTGAGGCTTTGGAGAAGGCTTCCAAATTTAAGTGATGGAGTTAGAGTTGTGTGTAGTTAAAACAGAAGTGTGTGATTTTACATGAAGGGTTTTGAATTTGAAGGTTTTACAATATAGCAATAGGTATGGAACAAGATGGAGGATTTTGGGTGTTGTCTTTTTTTTTTTTAATGATTTTAGGTAGTAGTTTCTGGTTGGGTAGTTAGTGCTATACTGTGGGTGACAGGAGTTTAGTTATTGGGTGAAAAGTATAAATAATATAGGTGTTAGTTCTTTATTGGACTGTTTAGCTTTAAAAAAACCTTGTCTTTTAAATTCACCTCCATTTTGCTGGCTTTTAGCTGGTAGCTAGAAGTGTTACAAAACTCTCTGTACTTTAGATAAGATTTAATAAACAACCAAGCCCAAACACGAGAAAATTCATTTCCTTCATATTTTTAATCCTGACTCTAAGTGAAGACAAAAGAAAATGAAAACAAGCCACTAATTAAATAATACAAGTACCACGTTTACAAGTGGTATCCTGTGTGAGGAGTTACAGGAAGAGATGAGAGGGGTTTTTTAAAATTTTTTATTTGTAATTTTTAGAAGTTTTCCGAATTGTTTTCTCAGGATGTTTACACAAACCATCCCAGGATTCTGTGAAGTGCATTAAAGCTTCACACCTTAGTGGGGAAAACAAGGAATACAGGACATCCCTCACAGGGAAAAGACACAAGCAGCAAAAATGCAGCACCCAGGAAGGAATGAGCTGGAAGGATGAGGCAGGTGGAGGGGCTGGGTGTGACACAAACTCACTGCACTGATGGCTAAAAACCAGGAGCAGCACACTTCCACACCTGGAATTGCTTCTCTGAGCAGGGAAAACTGTGCCAGGACACAGAGCAGTGCAGAGTGAAGTGACTGCAGCAAGAGGCAGACCAGGAGCAGCTCCAATGAACTACAGGGCACAGCAGCCTCTTTATGCAGCAGCCCAGCTACAGCACACAGGCTTCTACTTCCAGGGAAATACTTGGAAAACCTACCTACATCCTGCAGCTGGGAAACAGAATGACACATGTTCAGTGTTGAAAGTGCAAAGCCATTTAGTTTTACCCAGTAAGAGACTGCGAGTTGTGAGCCTCAGTCCAGCAAAAGCAGTTATTGCACGAGCTGTGACATTCGAGATTAATTCCCTGTGGATTTGTGCCCTCCCATCACGGTGGTTCAAAACCTCCCTCCCTGCATCACTTCCCGAGAAACAAGAGCTCACAGAGCTCTCAAGTGGGACAGAACACGCAGATGGAAGTTTGGCCTCTCTTATCCTGCTTGGGTGAGAGCTCTGGGAGTGGAGGACATTTCCATCCCTTCTCCGAGTTTGGCTCAAAAAATATCAGATGGAACAGACAGAAATAAGTAACGTGGCTCATTCTTACAGAAAAAAAAAAAAAAAAAAAAGTTGAAAAGCAGAAAGATGCAAATATAAATCCCCTTTCCTACACCCACACCCCAGTGCTGCCACAGATACTGACATCAATATCCCACAGCATCCTTTGGGATGATTAACCACAGCAAATGTGCAGAGATCTGTCAGGAGACCTTTAAATCTCCAATTACACTTTCCTCAGAGTCAGAAAATCCCACAAATCTCCTCATACCTCACTGCTCCACTTCCAGTGTGTAAGTTACAGCACAAAGTTGTGCTTCCTGACCAATTTAGCATTTTGCCTTAAATCTCTTCCTTTAATTTGTCAACTTTCTTGTGGAAAAGCTCTAGATCAGCTCTAAAATTTATTTTTCATGGTAATGGCAAGGATTATCAGATTAGTGTGTTATGGGACAAAAATCTTTTCCTGGAAAAGCTGGGAAAAAAAAAATCTTTTCCTGCTGCTGGGGCTCCACTGCCCCACTCTGTTGTGTGCAGATGATGGAGAAGTGTTTTTAGGATCTTCTCCAGTTTATTTCCCAACAAATACCAGCCTGGACAAAACATCCCTAACCACAACATGACAGGGGTTGAGAAATACAAGCCAATAAAAAGCTTATTTTCTAAGAGCATGAGATAAAATATTCCTAGACAATAAATCACAAAGTTGTCTCATGTCAAATATAAATTCCAGGGCTTTTTTAACAGCCTGGTGAAATGTTGATGAAAAAGCCATAAAAGCAGTAGTAAATTAAATTTCAGTCCTATTCTGGTGCCATGAAATAAACTAAAAAATTATATGTGGGATCTGGTTTTTCACTGTATTCCCAGGAAAGATGATTCTTCCCAACCCAGCTTTGCTGATCCCAGGTTCAGGACCACTGGACTGATGGGGATTTTCACACCCACAACTCTGCACTTGTGGGATTTTAGGCTCTGCTTTGTGCTGTTCTCTCCCCTGCTTGCTCAGCTGGGCAGAATGGAGTCATTCATTCCAGCTCATTCGATGGGATGAGCATCACCAGAGGCACTGTGGAGGTGCAGCAGGGCTGAGCAGCAGGACCAGGAAAAATAATTAAAAATAATGATTTTGGGGGTTTTCATCCCCTGTAACCAGTGGGTGCCCTATGCATTACTGCTCAGATCCATCCAGAGCTTTCCTCAGGATATCCCTTGATTAATTAGTAGCCAGACTCCTCATTAAGCTGCTGACACACCAGTTCCCATAGGAATCTCAGCTCAGGATTCCCCCATTTATTAAAAAATAAACTCAGTGGAAGCAGGAACCCCCAGCTGAGAGAGCCTGATCTTCCAGCTTAAATCCCCAGGCTCAGGACTGTGAAGACTTTTTGGGTTCTGCCCTCTGACTTTCCTGGAAGCAGGACTCTGCCATGGAATACAGAGCTTCCCCCTGCACAGACAGGGTGCTCTGCTCTGCTGGCCCAAACACAGCTCTTAGCTCTTTTAACCACCTCAAAGATAATTTTCCCAATATTTTATGAGCATTCCCAGTTTTTCACCTTTCTGTGCACTGTTAGATGTATGTGAGTCCCTGCACTCGAGTAAGGGGACAGGGAATTAGCAGGCAGGTATTTAGGCTGTAACAACCAAAATTTAAAATAATATTTGGGAATTAGTACTTTGGGAGAGACAGCAGAATTCCTGAAATCCAACCTGAAATTAATGACCAGCTGATCCTGAAGAGGCTGGAAAAAAAAGCTTTGGCTCTTCCAAGGGGAGACAAGATGGAAGGAAAAAGTGGGGAAGGCTGATGTTCCCTTTCCTTCCAGCCCACAAATATCCATATGGGAGAGCTCCTGTATTCTGGATGTTCACATTTCTGAATTCACCTTCCAGGGGGTGCATTCAGACAGCTCTAATTCCATATTATTTTCCCTTCTCTACATTCTGAACTGTCTCCTAACACCTACTCCCTAGAGTTGCCCCCACCCATATCACACTGACAGCAAATTCCCTCTTTAATCTGCCAGCAGAACACAAAATGCTCAGCTCATAAATCCAGAACTGGCCAGATCTGGGCAGTGATGCACCAAGAGTTAAATCCTGAAGCAGTGCCAGGTGTTAAATTAAAGTCATCTCCCAGGCATATCCGGAATGCTGTGACTTTTCAAAAATCCAGGATCTGCCCACGGACAGCCAGATGTACCCACAGAACTGAGCAGGGCTGGTGAGCAAGATGTTCCACCAAACTGTCAGACTCTCCAGAGGAAAGGGCACATTTTGGAGACTCATCCAACCCAATCCCACTTCTCCATAACACACAGGATAACTCCCAGGGGGCTGGAGCTTATTATTCCTTCCCCAGCCATGGGATGGGAGCAGGCAGTGCTGCATTTCCAGAGCAAAATGTCAAACTACAGCTCCTGGCACAGCACCTGCACCATTATCCTCAGATTTCTCTGAAATCCCTCTGGTTGCACTTCCAGTATTACTTGTAGCAAGAGGAATGGAAGCCAAGGCAAATCCACAGCTCTCTCTCCTTTCCTAACCCTTAAAGCTGCTGCCTGTGCTTGCAGCTGCATTGGAATGGGCTGGGAATTCTAAAAGGCCACAGGTGTTTCTTGATTCCTTTCTGAAAGCTCTGTGCAACCACTGATGCTCATCCATCCATCCATCCATCCATGCATCCCTAAAAGCAAGAACAGACTTAGGAACTCGCTCTGTCCTACTCAAGAGCTGAAATCGGCTCATGGAGAAATCAGTTTAAATGGACAAAAAAAATTCTACCTGCTCAGGGATCTTTGACAATCAAAGCAGAGAATGACTCTGGTGTCCAAATCCAAGGTAAGAACCAGGTAATTGTAAGTCAGGAGCAGAGAGGCTCTAAGATCATTCCCTGTAAATCCCTCACTTCCCATACTCTTAAGGCACTAAATGCATTTAATGCCCATTTAACAGAGCTGCCCCCTTTCCCAAGGGAATTTCCCAAGGGCAGCAGGGGCAGAGATCAGCCCCTCTGCACAAGGCTGCCTTGTCTGTGCAGCCCCGAGCAAACTCCAGCTCCATCCTGCCCAGAGATGGCTCCCTTGGGACCGGCTGCCTTCCAACAACAACGACTACAAGCAGAGCTTTGTCCCCACTCCACAGACACAACAGAGCCATGAAAACCTCTCTGTGCTTGGGCAGATCCCAAAGCCAGGCCAGGCACTTACTGCTCTCCCTGTCACTCCTGAGAAACCACTTTTCCTCCTGCTGTCAAATCCTTCCAGCCATCCAACCCCAAAAGGAGCTGCAGCCAGCTCTGATTCCCCAGCAGAAATCCTTCCCCTCCCCAGCTATTTTCTTCCTTTGTTCCTTTAAAATGTCAGTGATGACTGAACAACAACGAGGCACTGAGGGGAAAAAGCTTTCCTTGCAAGGATAACTGTAGGCAAACTCTTGTCTTGATGTGGGCAGCAGGAGGAAATAATGAGCACAAAGGACAATGAATAAGCACCAAAAAACAGCACAATTTCATCTGAAGGAATCCAGAAACTTTTAAGAGAAAATCAACATGAAATGATGCACATACACAGCCAAAAAAAGGCCAGGAGACCTGCACCATCAGGCTGAGTGAAAAAAAAAAACCTAAGCAACAAAATAACTAAGCAGCAAACTAACTAAGAATATTTCTATTAAAGTGGCCGTTTAAAGATGATGTTGACTGCTGTGTGTAGAAGAAAAAATGCAAAGGGCCATCACACCAGGACAAAGCCATGCCACTCCCACAGCTCGTGTCCTGCACTGAATTCCCCCACTTTTGTCAGAAAAACTGTAAGGGAGAGGGAGAAGAATACTGGAAAGACAACATGGGTGGTGAGACATAATAAATTATTCCCCTATGACAGAAGGTAACAAAGGATTAGAGTCTTCAGCAAGGGAATTAGTCACTAGAGAGAAATATGACAATAAAACTGCAATTTAAATAAATGTCAACAACCTTCTCTGATCACTTCTCCCAAGAGCTGGGGCATCAAATTCACCCCAGAAAAGCTTTAAAACCTCTGCTGTTTTTTCTCCTGGGGGTAAATTCAATTAGCATAAAGAAAGACTGCAATTAAGGCAGCTTGTGACCACTTCAGAGCTGGGAAGAGAATCATTTCCTGTTCTATTCATGGTGGAAAATAGTAATTTGTGTGCTGATAAAGGGACTCAAATATTCATTCCTAAGAAATCCCACGCCTCCCACGTGCTGCTCTGCTGTTTCCTTTCTCCAGCTGCCCTGGAGAACTGAAAGTAAGATGTAGCTGTGCAGGAAGGAGCCTTATCCCTGTTTGGGAAAGGGGTCTGAGGGGCCAAGAATTGTCCCAGACTTGGAATTCCAAGGCAAAATTGTCAATATTTGGACACTGAAGTAGAACCTGGCTTTGTAAAATACGAATTTTAAGATTCACCCTGGTAACTAAACCACATTAATTCAAAGATGTTAAGCCAGCAGACAGAGCCCAGCACCAAGATCTGCTGGAGATTTTCCTGCTCCCAAATTCCTTCTTCCTATCAAAACTTAATAATTGAGAGCAGTAATTCATCACCAACAGGTGAAATACAGTTTAAGATGATGAAGTCATTTATTCAGCTCAAAACAAGGCTTCGAGCAAATTTACTCATTGCAAGAGCAGAGATCTTGTTTGGTAAAGATATTTAGCAACCTCTTTTCCCAATAGTTTTCATGAAAGAAGACAAAAAAATCTCTTTTATTCTAATTTAAGTGTTGTCAGTCTTTCAGAGCAACTGCTGACAAACACCATCCACACAGGAATTCACCAGATTAGCAGAAAAGCACGTTCCCTTATCTCCACAAATATCTGTGCCACTCCACAAACTCTTTTGGAGCAATTTTTATGAAGGACATTTAAAAATTCCACACATGAGCTGGAAGCACAGCCTGCTCATCCAGGCTGCTGAAGGGAGCAAGGTCCTTCCCCCTCTCCTGCCTCCTTCCCAAAACCCCGTGCAGAAATGTTGGTTGGCTGAACTGCAGATCATCCCTTCCTTTAGCATGGAACAAACACAAAAAATATCTTTGTTTAAATAAAAAAGAGCCACATGCTGCTGTGCCCTTTCATTTCCAAGCCAAGGGCCTTGCAGGGAGATGAGAGCAGTGCCAGAAAACCCTTCCAGGAGACTCTAAAAGCCTGTTCAGTAAGAGTGATGGATCTCCTTCCTCCAGAATTAAGTGGAAAAGAGGGAATTTGGCACAGCACCAAGCCCACACTCACAGCCTTGGCTGATGGAGTCAAACACATCCCCTCTTGCCTCAAAAGCAGCTCCACTTGAGAGCTTTCCCTCCAGAACTCTTCAGAGAGAAACTCATAATTAAATTGATTAAATTTATTCCTACCATCACAACCAAACCTACTGTCTGTCAATTCCTTACACCAAGTAAGCAAAGCTGTTAAAAATGGCTTTTTATGGAAAAACACCACCAGTGTGGCACAGTGCAAGTAACAGCAAAAAAGTTTGGGGGGGGTTGTATTTATTATTTATCTAATTCACAAAAACCTCCAGGTCCTTTCCCTACATTTCTTAAAAGCAAGAAGTAAAAAGTCACTTACCACTGGTGGCACTCAGCACTTTGATCCCATTTCTGCAAGGCGAGTTCCAGCTCTTCCTTCCCTGGAATTAAAAAAAAAAGTAGTCAGAGGTAAGAAATTCTGTTGTTTTCTCTCCCAATTTCTTTCTCTGAGGCTGTCAGAGTAACTGAATGGCATAAAAATAATTTATTTGTTAATTTGATAATATATTCGGCTTGAAAACATCCCACACATAATTTTATCCTCTGGGAGGTTCAAAAAGTGAAAACTAAGCACTTATTGATGGCTAAAAGGACAATATTCAACTTAGAATTCCATGTTTAAATGGCTCCACTGATTCCCAGTGGAGTAATTATATGTAATTATATATATTATGTTATTAATTATACTAATATATGCTATAAAAAGAATAATTATATTAGCTACAGTATTAACTAACTCTATTTAGTTAAGTGCATAATAAACAAGATAGAAATTATTTAGATTAGTATCTTTTGTTGCACATCTTAACTGTACTAAAGATGATTTTTGCTCTATTCTGACTCACCTAAAACCTTGAGGGCACCTTTGAGGTGGTAAAGAAGAATGAGGGAATGAAATTAAAGTGGATCCCTTAAGCAAATTTAAAAATAGGTACTGTTTTTAGATCTGCATGTGCTGGCAACAAAAAATAATCCAGTGTGCTGGATAAACAGCCAAAGCTTTTTTATTTTGTATTTATTTTATTATTTATTTTGGTATCACAGAGAAATACAAGACAGGTTTGAGAAACAACTTTCCCAGCTCTAAGTAGGTCTCAGTCTATTTAGACTCTTTCAGAAAGCTCAATTTTTTAAACATAAAAAATTTGTTTCAAGCATTGCTTCCCACTCCCCCAAAAACCAGATTTTAGGGAAAACCAATAAATAAGATCAGCTAGCAAGTGGAGTGCTGGAACCCTGGAACCTGGGAGTTTTGAACTTTCTGTGCTGTCAGGCACTGACCCCCAAAAGAACATTGCTTTTGACTCGAGGCCATGGAGAAGGCTTCCAAAATTGAATGACAGAACTACAATCCCTGGTGTGTAGTTGGAATAGAAGTGTGCAACACCACACGGTGAAAGGTTTGGAATTTGGGGTTTTAGAATATAGGAATATGTATGGGACAAGACGGAGGTTTTGGGGTGTTGGTTTTTATTCCTTCTTATTTTTCTTCTTCTTGGGTATAGGTAGCATTTTTTAATTGGATAGAAAATGCCACACTGTGAGTCACAGGTGTTTGGTCATTGGGTCAAAAGTAAAAGTAATTTAGCTGTTAGTTTTTAATTGGACAATTAGGCCTTAAAAGACTTTGTAACAAGCAAGATAGTGCTCCATTTTTTTGCTTTTAGCTTGTTAGCTAGAAGTGCTGTAGATAAGAATTAATAAACAACTGAGTCCAAACACAAAACTTCATCTCTTGTGATTTCAATCCCGACTCTGAAGAGGAGAAATGAAGTTACAAACCAATAGTGGAGGGGTTGTAAGCTGAGTGCCAGCAGGGAATTCCTTACCCCCGGTGGCGTAGGATCTCCTCTCCTCCGCGTCCTCCGTCAGCTCCCACATGTCACAGTGCGCCCGCGCCAGGCGCCACAGGAATTCCCGCTGCCCCGCGTACTGCAGGCGACACAAACATCCCACACATCCCACCTCAGAGCTTGTCCTGCCCCCAGCAAGGAGTCAGGAACAAAGGCTGAGCACGGCACTCACAGCTGAAGTCATGCAGGGATTTTTCTAAGCTTTAAAATGCCCCAATGCCAGAGGAACTGAAGTGGAACCACAGCGGGCAAATTTACAACTCAGTGTGGTCATGGGAGTGGGGCAGGGATTGTCCCCCTGTGCTGGGAACTGCAGGGGCATCTCCAGTGCTGTGCCCAGCTCTGGGCTTCCCTAGACAGGAAAGGCAGTGAGGATGGAGCATGTTCAGGGAAAGGAATGGGGCTGGAGGGACAAAAGGAGGCTCAGGGGGGACCTGCTCCCTCTCCACAACACCCTGACAGGAGGGGCAGCCAGGGGGAATCAGGCTCTGCTCCCAGGGAACAAGGGATGTGACAAGAGGAAATGGCCTCAAGCTGTGCCAGGGCAGGCTCAGGTTGGACACCAGGGGGAATTTTTTCCTGGAAAGGGTGGTCAGGCAATGGAAGGGGCTGCCCGGGGAGGTGATGGTGTCTCTGTCTCTAGAGGTGTCCAAGGAATGACTGGACATGGCACTCAGTGCTCTGGGCTGGGTCACAAGGTGGGGATCAGTTCCAGGTTGGACTTTGAGTGAAGAAACCCCTCCTGACATCCAAACTGACCCTCCCCTGGTGCTGGAAAATACAACAAGGCACCTATACCGCCAGCTTGTTGTTGAGGAGTAACTGGAATCCTTCTCTCCTGTCCTGCTCATCCCCGCTGTGCAGGCGGTCAGCCTGCTCCAGGAGCTGCCCCAGCCCCTCCTCCAGCAAGGAATCCACGAGCAGAGGGTTTTCATCCTCAGGGACCAGATCCAGGGAGTCCCTGCGCACTGTCCTCACTGTGTCACAGCTCACTTCGTCCTCGCTCTCCCGCTCCGACTCCCGGTCGTAGTCGGACTCGGCGTTGGCCGTGGTGTAACTTTGGGGGGAAAAAAAAAAAATCACCAAAGCAGTTTGAGGAGCTGTTCCCCAGGAGAGGAAGAGTATCTTAGTTTATCCCAGAGAAAACTGCACAACCCAAGTGTCTCACACAACAACAAAGTTAAGTCCCAAGTCAGTTTTGAGCAACCTGGTCCATGGAAGGTGTCCCTGCCAGGTGGCACTGGATGAGCTTTAAGGTCCTTTCCCACCCAAACCATTCCAGGATTTTAACTGTCCCCACCTTGCACACCCTGTCAGCTCCGCCCTCACAGCCCTTCAGGATAAGAGAATTAAACAGCTAAAAGTAGACCCAGGACAATTCAGTTAAACATACAGGTGATAAAAGAGAACTTCAATAATCCCTGTGCAAAATATAACCTGAGGGTTTTAGGCTGTTCCAGGGAATTTCAGGCACAACAGCTGTCCTGGCAACCCCTCACACCTCTATCACCCTGAATATTAAATGCTACCCAGCTTGTTCTCAGTGCCACCTGGAAAGCTGCAGAACAGCAGGAAAACCACCAGGACTATGTCCCATGAACCCAGCAAGGGTTCACCACAAGGCTAAAAACCCAGGGAATGACCAGCAGCTGAAGCAGTCAGACAAACCAGGACATGAGGGATCATGGAGGTGCTGGTGGGACTCCATGACTTTGGAGATCTCTCCCAACCTCAGTGATCCCGTAAAGCTCAGATCAAAGCTCCTGAAAATGGTGAAAATTAAGTTCCCCCAGCAGCCAAGCTGGGAATTTAAAATTTGAAATTTAAACCAGTGGTACCACAACAGGAGGGAATCTACTTAGAGCTGATTCCTTTTCAAACAAGACTATCTGTGCCACTTACTTTTACCTGCAAGCTCTTAACAAATCAGCCAGTCATTTCAAAACGTGCACTTGAACATGTGGATTTTGTTGATTTAAGTCAGTAACTGCCCAAGAGAACTTCAGCAGCTCTGCTGGAGCGGAGTTCCCTGCACCCTGAGGGCACTGGGTACTTCCAGCTGTGCTTCCCTCTGTCCTGGTCTGATTGCCCCTGCCAGGGACAGCCCTGCGGCCCTGCCTTTGTCTGGGGACACAGATATGTGACCACAGCCCCTATCTGAAGGAGGCAGTGACAGGGCTTTGCCCACACACAGATAACAAGACACGTTTGGCTATCAAAGCTTCCTGAGGACCATCCCTAATTCTCAAGAACTCCCCTCTCTGCTCCCCCACCACAGCCTCCAACCCCACCGTGATGTCCTAAAACATTTTAAGGCAAGAAATAAAGCATCAGCCTCACACTGCAAAGGCAGGAAAAGTAAGGATGCCACGCTGGAGATGACACTGAATTAATGGACCAACACAAGGGTAGGTGACACTGGCACGGCTCTGTCTCACATTAAAACCCTCATTTATTCACATTTCTTAATGGCATTATCACCTCATTTCCAGTAATTAAACTCAAACTCCTCGAATTCTCTGATTTCCCCACCCTAACCCCCAACATTTTACAGGCAGCTGCCAAGATTTCAGTCCTTCAGCTCAAAACACAACCGTGTTTTCTGCTAGACAGCCCCTACGAGATTCTGCCAGTTCAAAAAGAAAAGGAAACACAAAGTTTTCAGGGAGATTAAGGGATTTAGGTGTTATCAGCCTGTTGTCCTGAGTTTACAGTGATGGAAAGCTCTGGAGTGCTTTAATATGGCAATCCTGAAGGAAAACAGAGCCCATGGAAAGAGGAGCTGAAGAAGCTCAAAACCCAAAGCCACGCAGGGAAATTAAGCAGCACAACGCCCCTGAAAACTCTTAGATTTTTGGAAATTGGGCCTGAAATTGGAGAAGCTGCTCATGCCCACATGGTTTACAAAATAAAGCTGAAATGGAGGTTCTTTGTTCTGAATTTCACTGAAAGAATTCAGCTGTCAGCAAGGAATCCATCTGTTGGCAATAGGCTCATTCTTCCTCCCAGTGCCTGGTCCAAAGCTTCAATTTTTTTTCCCAAAATTTACATTTCCTAACCTGAAAATGTTACTTTTCAAGCACATTTACATCCCTAGCAGATAACACTGCACATTACAGGCAGCTGGTCCTGACCTGACTGATGTTTTTATACCTCACCAGAGTGAGGCATTACCTGAGATTCCAGTTTTAAATCAGGTGACAGCTGCTAATCCACCAATCCCCACAGTGGTTATTACAGCTAATTACAGACGTTAATTAAAATGTAAGGACTCCACCAACCACCACTGGATTCCCAATAAATTAATGAGGTTTTGCAGTAAAATACACCCCTGTCCCCTCAGCAGGTGCCTTTTCTGTAACTCTGAATTCGTGGCCTCTGTCACAACTCCCAATTTTCCATGATCTGAGGACAGCCAGGGCTGGGATGTGTGGACAAAATTCCTTTTTCCCAGCAGTTTTACACAAACCATTGTCCCCCCTGGTGACTCAGTGCACCTGCTGTTACCCAAATACCCAAGTCCTGCCTTCACAACCAACTGCACAGTTCTAAAATCTGTTCTGCAGCCTTGTTACTTATTACACCACCATGAATCACTCCCTCCCTAATTTCCCTCTCATTCCAACACCCACCTGAGCTGAATGAAGCTCTACAATCCCAGTGAGATCACAGCAGTTCCCTGCTGTCTCACCAGCTCCAGTTATCAGAGATAAACACGAGTTTAGGGCAGTCACAGATCCCTGTCCTTTGTCCTGGGAGGACAAATTCCTGCTGAAATGCCAGCTGGCACCAGCCCCCAGGTCATATGGCTGCCCAAATTCCCCCTGAAATGCTCCCACTCATGTTTAAATGACATTTCATCCCAACTGCTCTGGGAAAACGCATACAGCAACACCAACTGTTTTGGGACACACTTCCATATCCCAGAAGCTACAAAAGTGGTCAGATTGAGGCACAAAAGAGCATCATTTCCTCAGAAAATCAGCAATCACAGGTGCAGAACTTGTTACCTAACAAGAATAGACCTGCAGCTATATTGTCATTTTTAATGATGTTCTTACACCACACAGAACTTTTCAGTCGTGTGCAGGGCCAGGAGCTGGACTTGGATGATCCTCCTGGGTCCCTTCCCCCTCAGGATATTCACTGATTCAATGATTTGATAATTATAATATATACTGTCTGGAAATTTGATTTCCAAACTCTCTCACTCCATTGCTAGGATGGACTCATACTTTCCTTCCTTCTGCAAGGTTCCTTAATCAAATTATTTCTTTAAAACCCCTCAATTTTTTTTTTCCTTTCTCTAAAAGTCAGGATCATTTCAGATCTCTCCGTCTGACTCTGGCAGTAACACACTTACTGTAATGAAAGCAAATTAGAACAGGCTGTAGGGGAGGAAAATTCCTTCCTTTATGTTCTAAACTACCCAGATGTGGCACCAAATCCCCTAAAACATCTGTCCCAGTGCTCTGCTTACCCCCCTTCACTCTCTCCATCATCTGTGTTGATGTTCCCTGAGCTGGCTGTGAAATAAATGGAGCTGGAGCCTGTGGAGTCACTTCTGTCCCTGAAGAAGGGGATCTTCCTCCGGCGAGTCACACGCTGGGTTTCTTCCAGGTGATTCCTGGAGGGAAAGAAAAAGGAAGAAAAATAAATATTTGGTAGTGGAATATCTGCTATTCCCCTGCTCCTCTCCAGCAGACTCCATCCAATTCCCTTTATATCCAAAGAATTCACAAGATGGTTTGTTCCTGTTTATGTGAACTCAAACGGAACTGATGTTGTATTCTACAGGTAAAGCACATCCTCCTCCATGGACAATCCATACAGAATCCATAGATGTGATGTTCATCCAACCTCTGCATCAGGAACTGGAGTGACAGAATGGGTTCAGACTGGAAGAGTGGAAATTTAGGTTGGATATAGGGAATGAATCTTTCCCTGTGAGGGTAGTGCAGCATTAGAATGGATTTCCCAGAGAAGCTGTGGCTGCCCCATCCCTTGGAAGTGTTCCAGGACAAGCTGGAGCAACCTGGGATAGTGGAAGGTGTCTCTGCCCATGGGTGGATGGGCTTTGAGGTCCCTCCCAGCCCAGGCATTCCCAGATCCTGGGAACCCCATGCTCCAACTCCAGGAGAGGGGGCAGTACCTGACTTCCCCCACGATCTCCACCGCCAGGTGCTGGAGGCTGTTCCGCAGCTCCTCCACCTCCTTCTTCAGCTCCATCACGTTCTTCAGCACAAAGTCCAGGCGCTCCAGCAGCTCCAGCTGCTCGTTCTGCCTCAGCAGGGGGGTGGGCACGGCTCCATCGCGCGCACCCTCACCCGACGGGAGCTGCGCTCTGCGCACGGGCACGGGCTGGGCTGCACCAGAGCACAACGGAGCTGTCAGGTCCAAGCAGGAAAGGATTCCAGCGGGAGGGAAATCTGGCCATGGGTCTGTTGGCAGGGGATAGGAGGCTTGATTTGGCAAGGATACCGAGGGGATCAGAGGGATGGAGCAGCTCTGCTGCAGGGAAAGGCTGGGAGAATTGGGATTGTTCAGACTAGAAAAGTGAAGGCTCTGTGGTGACCCAACTGCTCCTTCCAGTGCCTGAAGGAGCCTGAGGAAAAAACAGCAAGAGACTCTTTACAAGGGCCTGGAGTGACAGGACAGCGGGGAATAACTTCAAACTAGAAAAGGGGAGCTTTATATGGGATACTGGGAAGGAACCTTTCCCTGAGAGGATGGGGTTGTCCAGAGCAGCTGTGGTTACCCTATCCCTGGAAGTGCCCAGGGCCAGGCTGGATGGTGCTTGGAGCAACCTGGGATAGTGGAAGGTGTCCTTGTCCAAGGTAGGGGGTAGGACTGGATGAGCTTTAAGGTCCCATCCCACCCAAACCATTCCAGGATTCCATTATTCTATGATTGCTGTGAAAAACGCGGTTTCACTTTCTGTCCCCGAAGTTTTGCACAGCCATGGATGAAACCCAGCAAGCTCAGGGTTCTGAATCAGCATTTCTAAAAGCTCAACACTCCAACCTCACTGCCCCCTATCCCAACCCCACTCCCCCATTATATCCCATTCCCGGCACTCAATCCCTATTCTCCAGGCCTATTTCCCACATTCTTCCTTTTCCAACCCCATTCCATTTCCCCCATTCCAGCTCCACGCCTCCCTATCCCATTTTCCCACATTCCAGCCCCACTCCCTCTATTCCAACCCCAATTCCAAGGCCAACTCCAGCCCCATTTCCCTCAATCCGACCCGGCCTCCCCGCCGCTCGATCCCGCCCGTACCGCGGCGCGGCGGCCTCGCCGCCTCCTTGGAGCGGCGGCGCACGGCCCAGATCACCCCGAGGCAGAGGCCGGCGCCCGCCGCCAGCCCCAGCGCCATTCCCAGCCGGGGTCCGGCCCGGGCCGGCTCCGCCACCGGCACCGCCATGGCCGCTCCGGGCGCGCGACACGGCCGGCGGCGCGGCGCGATGACGTCACTGATACGCTACAATCGGGAAGCGAAGGGGTGGTCTGTGCGCGTGTGACGTCACCGGAGCGCGGGGCGGCGAGGCCACGCCCACAGCGTGTGGCGACACTCGGACCTGGACGGGGACCCGGGGCTGTGTCACCCTCCGCAGGTGTCACCGCCCGCCCCCAGGCGCTGGGTCCGCCCAGTGTCCCGGGAAAATAACCTCCAAGGCCGCCGGCTCCGCACCTGCTGCTGTCACCTCGGCGCCTGTCCCGTCGTGGTCACAACGCCTTGCGGAGGGGACAGGCCGGGTGTCCCCGCACAGCCCGGCACTCTGTGTCGTGTCCCTCCCCAAAAAAGGGGATTTGGGATGCCCATGGCAGCTGAGCACAGGGTTTGTGGGATTGTGAGCACAGAGCCGCCGGGTTTTGGGATGAGATGATGGATTTCAGGAGGAATAGGCAAAGGAGACTGGAATGGCCAAACAATCGTCCCAAGCATTTGGGGTTGGAATTCTCCCTTCTACAGGAAATGTGGTGGGTGGTTACCTTCCTGGTAGGACCTCCCTAGGAAGATCTTTGTCCCAGAATCCTTTTTCTGGAAGAGCCAAAGGATTCCTTAGGAGAAAGGGGCACTCAGGAGAGGGAAAACCAAACCCTTTGTGCGCTCCCCGCTCCTGGGGGTTTGGGTGACAGCAGGATTTGGGCTGAGCCAAACCCAAGCAGAACCTTCTGCTTCCCTTTATCTGAATTATTAGGAGCGATTCCGAGCCAGCCCAGTCCAAGGAGAGCTGGGAGCAGCCAGCTCGGAGCCAGAGGGTGATAAGCTGCTTTGGGATGATGGATGAGATCCATCAGCACTCCGGCTGCCTCCCAGATTTCAGTATCTCCTCAAGAAATTCAATATTAAAATGTTATGTATAGCTCTGCTGTCATTTCCCTCTTTTTTCTTTACTATCTTTTTTCTCCAGGAAAGAGCCACATAAGAGTCAGACCTGGAGCTGAGCAGGCTGCCAGAACCCTGGCTAGTTTTCCTTTAATTTCTGGAAAGGTCTGGATTTCGTATCCGTATTATTCCCTGCATAACCACAGACCACATGTGCCCAGTGGATGTCCAAAGGGGTCATGGATTATGGGAATTCTGTCAAAATCCAACCCAGCTGGGTGAAATGTGCCCTTGGTTCATTAGGCAACAGGTTTGCACTGGGACAGGAGAGCAATGAGCAAACATTCCAGCTGTTCCAGGACCTGGGGAGGAGGCTCTGCTGAGGATGGGAATGATCAAAACAAGCTGATGTTTAACCCGTGGGGGGAGGTATCCCACAGAGAACTCCAAATGGACATTTTGGGATGTGTGGGACATGCTTTAGGAAGATGAGACCATCAGGGGTTTCTTGTATCTCACCAAACCAAGAGGTCAATGACAATGTCAATAATAACGATTAACAACAACAATAATAAATACAACAACAATTAACAACAATAACACATTAATAATAATGGATATATGCAGTGCCTCTGCCTGTCCCAGTCCCTTGAAATGGGACTTCTCAAATTTTGAAGGGATTTAAACCCCCTGTGTTCCCAGATAATAACAGCCAGCAGAAAAACAGATATTCCCCAAAAATGTTGGTAATGCTGAACATTCTGCTTCAGGGGAGTGTTTGGTCAGGCTGTGGGGTGGGAGTGGGAACGCTCTGCAGGGCCCACTCCTCCCCACCTGCCTGGCTCCTGCACCATCATCTCCCAGTCCTCATCTCCCTGCTGTTATTTCCTGGTCCTTTATCTCCCTGCTATTAATTTCCGTTTTCTTCGTCTCCCTTATCCATCATCTCCTTGTTCATTGCCTCCCTGCTCATCATCTCCTGTCCTACATCTCTCTGTCCTCCACGTCGCTGCACCTCATCTCCTGCTCCATCCTTTCCCTGCTCACCATCTCCTGCTCCGTCTCCTCCCTCCTCATCGCCTCCTGTCCCCTGTCCCCTCCTGCTCCATCACCTTCCAGCCCTTCACCCTTCTTGGGACGGCAGCACCAACATCCCGAGGGATCTGTCGGAGCCTCCCGGGTGCTCCCCGCTCCCCAGCCCCGGCGGGGCCTCCCGACCCCTTTTTGGGAGCCTTTTCCCCCCGCACTGCCCGGGGGCGGTGGTGGCGGGGCGGGACCGGGGGCGGCCCCGGGCACGGTCCCCCAGGAGCGGCGGCGGGAGCGGCGGAGCGGAGATGCCGTACCTGCTCATTAGCACCCAAATCCGCCTGGTGAGTCCCGGCGGGACCCCCGAGGGTGGGGAATTCCGGGAGAAGGGCAGGGACCGACCGTGACGAGCGGTGGGACCCGCTCAGCCCTCGGTGCGACCGTCACCGGTGCCTCCGCTGCGATCCCGGGATGGGCTGACCCTGCTGCTTCTGGGGGGTGATGCAGGTTTGGGGGACCCCCAGCACGGCTGGTGTGGGGTGACACAACTCCCGGTGCCCCCACCCCGGCTCTGCTGTCCCCAAACCCTCCTGTCCCAAACTTGCGGCGGGATCTCACGAATGCCGAAGGGACGGCTCCACTTGTCCTCGCAGTTGGTTTTCCCTCGTCCCCAAACAGCCATTCCAGGCTGGAAAACGCTGCCGAGGGAGCGGACATGACTGGGGCTGGCAGGAGCCGGGCAGTGGTTGGGATCTCTGGCTGGGATCACTGGCTGGGATCACCGTCCGGGAGCACTGGTGGGATTGCTGTCTGTCGCTATCAGATAAAGCCACAAAGCAAATGTTACTCCCCAGCACGGGCAGCACCCACATCCCGCAGGACTCTCTGTAGGAACCCACAGCTGTGTGTTTATCTGGGCTTTCCCTTTTCCCGACAATCATCTCTCCCGAAGCCTGGATCTGCCGGTGTGGTTTGGGGCAGGAAGCAGGGACGGTGAAAATAGCACATGAATAAAGGGAAGGGGTTGTGATGGCCACTGCTACTGCTGCCACTGGAGATGTCCCAAAGAAAGCAGCAGTGGATTGGGAATGGGGATGTGTGGGGATGCTGCAGGCTCAGTCTGCCCTCCAGAGACTTTGGAAACTCTGCTCTTTGGTAAAGGGGCAAAGCAAACATTTCCAGCGTGAACCTTGGCATCGAGCTGAGGCTGGAAACTTCCTGTCCTGGCCTTGCTTGGGTGAGCAACTGCACCTTCCTGGCAGTGGCTGGGATTGAGGGCCCTCCCAGGATGGGCTGACGGCAATTCCCTTCCTTAAGGGCTCTCCCTGGAGCTGTGCTGGGAACAGGGGCTGGCTGTGTCACCACGTGTCACTCACCACTCTGTGCCTGTCCCACAGGAGGCTGGGCCCACCATGGTGGGTGATGAGCACTCAGATCCCCACCTGATGAGTATCCTGGGGGCCACAAAGAGGACCACGCTGGGGAACAACTTGTAAGTCCTCCTTGCCTTATTTTCCCAAGAAACACAGAACATTTTCACTCCTGGCATTCCCCACAGCACCTTCCAGCTGTACAGTTAATCCCGGGACTTGCATGTGTCCTGTTAATGAGGAAATGCTGTCTGATATTTCACTTGGTTCTTTATTTTCCCTTGCTCTGACCCTGTTTTAGCACCTGACTCCCCTTTCCCTCTCTCAGTGCCACCCCTGCCTTGCTCTGCCTGTTCTTGGTGCTGAGACACCCAGAATGCTCACCCAGTTCTGTTCATCCTGTCCCTCCCAGCTGCAGTCTGTCTGCCCATCCCATCCCGCTCTCCAGTGCAGCTCCTTCCCAACAGCTCCCAAATGTTTTCCATGGGCAGCTGAGCCCTGGGGTTGGAGGTGCTTCCCATTGTGTCACCCCTGACTCCAACCCCTCCACCGGTATGTTCCCAAGCCTTGGATATTCTCCATGTCCTCACCTCTTCCCACAGCAAGTTTGACCCCAGACTTTGGCCAAGTGCCACTCAGAGATGTGACCAGCATCATCCTCATGGTTTGAAACACTTTTTTTCCCTTTTTTTACCTCACTTGATACATCCCACTTCTTGCTTTTCCCTGGGGGGGAAAGAAAACCAAAACAAAACACAGTGGAAAAGCAAAACAAACCCCCAAATGCAAAATAACTTGACAGAGGGGAGCAGCTCGATTCCTGCTGTGTCCCATGTGTCATGGTGTGGAGTAGGAGAAGGAGGAAAAGGAGGAGGAGGAAGCATTAAGACAGAAGGCACATCTCATCCCAAATGTTCCCAAGGTTCCATCCACAGAGCTGGGAAAACCCTCCTACTACTCAGCACCAGCCTGGCCAACACCAAGGGCTGGATCTTCAGCTGCTGCAGCATTAAAAATCTGAGTGGGGTGGGAAAATTTTAATAGTAAGGAGATAAAATATAAGTATTGAGGGCCTCCCCATCATGCCAGCTGAATTCCTGGGGGGTTTGCCGGGCTGATCCGTGTCTGTAGCTGCTATTCCCAAGCCCGTGGGTGAGCAGAGATTGGCAGCAGCACCAGCGTCGTGCTGCCACCCGCCGTGCCGAGCCCGGAGTTATGCAATGGGTTGGGAGACAGAGCAGGGAGAAACACGACAGGCTCCAAGGAGGAACGGCATCCTGAGAGATTTGGGCAAGGATCCCTGGGATTCAGGTGGAAAAGGAAGGCAAAGACACATAAAAGCCTCTGTGGTGCCTGCCCCAGCAGCTGGGGGAGCCGCAGCACTGTAAGGAAAAAGAAGCACCTCGTTGTTTTGGGGAAGGGATAGGAGCTTCCTATGGGATCTCCCTGGTGGATTCACCACCGTTCTCCCCTCCCTGTGGCCCCGAGCGTTTTGAGCTCCTCTTGCCTCACCTGCTCCTTGGCATGGCCCGTGTCACAGCTGGGAGCTCCGCTGTGTCCCCGCGGCACATCCCTGCGGCACAGCACGCCCTGCCCGTGTGTGCCTGAGCAACAGGCAGTGGGGAAAATCCCCTGGCTGGAATGTGGCTGCTGGCACCCCCGAGAGCACAGCCACGTGCCAGTGGGGCCAGCCCTGCTGCCTCCTCCAGAATCCCAACCAGAGCTGGGAGCTCCAGGATCTGCACTGTGGCCGAGCAGGATTTTCCATCCCCAATACCTTCATGAGCAGAACTTGGCTATGGATACTGCAAACCCCCTTCCTGTGGCATCTTGGGCCTCAAAACTTTAGCCATGACCTTGTAGGGAGCCTGAAGGATAAGCCTGAGCAGCACAGAGCTGCTGGGAAACTGGGATGTAGAAGTGAAGCTGAAATCCCAGTAATGAGGGAGCGCATGGATCCTGTTCTGCAGCTTTGCACAGACACACAGCCCCTCATTAAGTCCCACAAGGTGTGGGGAGCAGGGATGTGGTCCCTGCCTTCTCACCCGGGGTCAGAGCCCTTGGGGCAGCCAGGTGGGGGGCAAGGGGTGGGGTGGGGTTTACCTGGAGGCTTTGCAGGTATCCCAGCCCCTCCATCCCGACTGGATGCACAGGGAGATGGCAGCACATCCAATACCCAACAGCCTGCAATCCTCATTTCCCTCAACAAACAGCTGGGGTAAAGCCCTGGGAACTCTTCCCTCCTGCTTTTAGCTCAACTACTCCGTTTTTTAGGTTTCTACAAATCCCTGCCTCTGCTACTTCCTCTAAATAATGGGAGTAATATTTACTAGCTCCCACTGTGAATCTGAAGGGTATGTGGCAACCCTCCTGGAGAAAGAGCAGACTTCAAAGACGCTTATAATAATGCACATTATCTTTACACCACATCTATAATTACAGCCAAGTACGGTCTGTCTTGAGAAACTGGAAAATCTCTCACATCTCGGGTTATTTCATGCTTTAAAGCACTCCCAGCTCCAGCACAGCTCCAAAATCCAAGCAGGAGCTGTGGAAAGGCTTTTGGATCTTTTTTTTTTTAATCATTATTAGTAGGAAAAGCAGGAGAGGCTTTGTTCAGGTGCCCAAACAGGATCCCCAGTGATCCTGCAGCCCATCATTATCTGCTTATCCAGCACTGCAAGTCAGCTCCAGCTGAGCTGCTCTGGGCCTTATCCCAGAAGTCGTGCCAAAGGAGAGGCTGGCACATCCAGTGCCAAAGGTCCCACAGGCCAGCTCAGCTCGGCTGTCCCCACCCAATTCAGCCCAGTCTGTGCCTGGTCCCTTCACTGGGGAGCAGTGTCACCCTCAAGCTTCTGGGATTGAGGGGTAGGAATGTGGGACAGCTTCTACTCCAAGCATGGAGCAGCACAAACCAAGAGAATCAGAGCTGGACAAGGATCTCTGTATCAGCTCCCAGGACTGCTGGAATAGAGGAGCCTGGGCTCCAACTCGCCTGGCACATCCATGCAGGATGGATGACTACTGGCTTTCCAAAGGTTTCCCACGTGGCTGAAAGCAGCACCTTGTCCCAATCCCCAAATTCCAACAGTCTCTCAAACGCACCCATCTCTATGCTCTGACATAGGCAGAACATTGGGATTTCATTCCTTAGAAGCACCTGAATCATCACCTCTCCTCCTCCATGAATTCCCACATTAAAAACACGCTCACTGTGTTTACCTGTGAACCCTCTGCTGCAGTGCCAGCCCAGTTACCAAGCAGCACATGGCTCTGGATACCAGCCCCTGAGCCACATTCCCATTCAACCTGATCCTTCCCTCCTGGACAGGATTCCCGTGGTTTGGCACCTTGGGCCGTGCCTTCCCCTGGGGTTAACCGAGGCCCTGTGTCACACACGCCTGTGCCAGGTGTGGCCGCTGGTCTTACAGGGATCAGGAGCGAGGCAGGCTCACTTCCTCCCACCAGGAAATTCGATCTCTTCCTCCCCCAGCTCACTTTATTCCCATTTTTCCTGGGTGCAGCTGTGAGTACTACGTGAACGACGCTCCACGTGTAGTCCTGGACAAGCTGGAGAGCCTCGGCTACCGCGTGGTCAGCATGACTGGTGTGGGCCAGACCCTGGTCTGGTGCCTCCACAGGGAATAGCCAGGGAGAATCCTGCCTTCCACCTGGACAACAGCCCGCTGGAGATCATCTTGGAGGACTGGTGGCAGATTTCCCCCTTAGTTCCTTCCTGTTCCAGACTCCAAGCGCTTGGGCAGGGGGAGGAACGGTGCAAAGGCAGAGCTGGACCCAGTGGAATTTTGCCATCTCTGTTCCATTTCCCAAGAGCAGGGAAAGGAAGGTATGCCCAGAATCAGGCAGAGGGAACAGATGGCTCCAGCTCTGCCTTCAGCAGGATGGCAGTCTGGCAAATTCCAGCTTTTTACATTTTAATCATGTATTCAGCATGCCCTGGAGGAAGCTCAGTAACAACAGCCCTGTTTGCCTCCTCCTCAGGCTGCGCTGGAGAGCTCCGTGCCTTCTCCTGGGTCACGGGGTTAGGGAGGGACACCAAGCATGGACACCATCCCACCTCATCCCTGAAATCCAAGGGGGAACCACTAAAGCTACTCCCAGTGCTCTGAGAATCCCTTCCCTCAGCAGCAGCACCAAACTTCCAGATCCCAGACTGCCATCCAAGCCTAACACAGGATTCCCAAAATAACACAGAGAGGTTGTGTGACTGTTACAGGTGCAGGCTCTAATCCCAACACTGCTGGAATGTTTGGGACTGTGCACGGATCCTGCTGTGGGGGTAACACCAATAAAACACTGCTCCAAAGAGACCAACGTCCTTCTGTGGGTTGTTTAAAGCTGTTGCCAAATTCCTCTGGATGCATGGCTCCCAAGAATTAAAAGCTCCAAGGTTTGGTGTTCTCATGGCACCTCTCACACCTTGTCCCATGGGATGGGGCAGTGCTCTGGGTACACACACTGACAGGGTAACACCTGCACTCTGTGAACCTCAGGGAACCATTCCTTCTCCAAATCCGGACAGGGATAAGGGCGCAGTCCCTGTGAGTTTCTATTCCCACAACACCTTCTAAAAAAAGGAGGTTTATTGACTTAAATTAAGAAACAGCTCCGGGGGGCATGGAGGGGTGAGGAGAATCCATATTCTTTGTGCTAAGTGTGGGACTTTTCCTCCTCTTCTTCCCGCTGGAGCTGCTGGATGAGCTGCTGCCTCTCGGCTGCCTGGCGCATCCTCATCATCACCAGGCTCTCGTAGTCCCGCTCTGACACCACGGATGCCTGGGAAAGAGCAGCAAACACACACAAACAAACCCATCAGGGACAGCACAGACTCCCAGACCTCCCCCAAATCCCCCTCACAACACCAATGTTCCCAGCAAGAAGTGGTTTGATCCCACAGTAATTGGGTGAGGTGGGTGAAAGCCACCTGGCTACAAGAAATAAGCAGGAATTGTTATTAAAATGATTATTGAAAATAACCAGCAGTAAGTGTGGTTGATGAGGAAAGTGGGACAAACACGGAGTCAGCATTCCATGAGGCTGGATGGGGCATTATTGTGGATGACAAAATCCAAACCCTGCACCTACAACGTTGGTGCCCGAAGTCCAGTGTACACTTCACCTGTTATAAAGGCTAATGCCATAAAAAAAAAATCAAACCTTTGTGGATTAGTCATGGAAGTGGCTAACTTCCAACTGTCTCACAATGCTGAGGCCTTGGCACAGGTTACCCAGAGAAGCTGTGACTGCCCCATGCCTGGAAGTGTTCCAGGCCAGGTTGGATGGGGCTTGGAGCAACCTGGGATAGTGGAAGGTGTCCCTGCCCTGGGGTAGAACTGGATGGGCTTTAAGGTCCCTTCCCACCCAAACCATTCCAGAATTCTAACAGCTGCAATCAATGCCCTTAGAAATCTTTTCCACCAACAATTCCATAATTCTAAATGGCTGCAGAAAGAAAACCACCAGGGATGTTCCCAAACCTGACACAGGAATGGAACAGTTTTCAAAAACTCCTGGAGCGTCCCTGCTGTGTGTGGCAGCAACTGTCACGTCAAGGCAGTTGATGGCAGACTCTGCCTAATGAACGTGGGCAGCAGATGACAGCTGCTCCAGTGCTGCTTCCAAAGCCATTCCACACTAGTAGGTGGCCGTGCTATTTTGGATGTATGAAAGCACTGCAAGGCTTGGAAACATCCAGCTTGTTCCTTGACAGTTCACGTGGAAATAAGAGTGTCTTGACAGCAGGTGAATGGAAAAAAAATAAAACAACCCTTTATACTAATTTTTCTAGGAAGCGGATTAAGTGGTGATGGCAGAGAATCATGGAATCTCGGAATGGTTTGGGTGGGAAGGGATCTTAAACATCATCTGGTTCCAACCTCGTGCCACAGGCAGGGACACTTTCCACTATCCCAGGCTGCTCCAACCTGGTTTGGAACACTTCCAGGGATGGAGCAGCCACAGCTTCTCCAGATACTGAAGGATTTCTTAAGAAGCAGAAGGGATACAAAGGCAATAGAATGCCTGAATAAGTGTCTGCATGGAAACATGGGTGAGTGCAATTCGTTATCCCTGCCAGCAAAGTGGTTCCTCCGAGGACACAATGAAAGCCCACAACAGATAAAGAACATCAAGAGGGAAATTAAGAGTCTAATTGGTGTCTCAGGAGCCACCTGAGCAAAATGACCTTTGGGTACTGGCAGCAGCAGTGTCTGAGAAAGCACCGATGGTATCAGCCCTCAGCCAGGATCCTTCCAAGTCCCATCCACCAACCCCAGGAATTTGCTAGGCTGGATGAAGAAGCTGCCCGAGACTCATGCAGATGAATCACCCACACAAACCTGAAGCCCCACCTCACGCTGGGATTGAAATTTAAACCAGCCAGGAGATTATTTGCAGTCTGGTTTGGGAGCTGTGCTGACACGAGGAGCCCTCGGAGTGGCAGGAGGAAGAGCAGCCTAATCCAGGTGGGCTCCCAGCACGTGCTCCCGGGTTCCTGAGCGTGGGCTGAGGCTCTGCCACTCCACACACCTACTTCCTGCAATCCTGGCAATTACCAATGGAGTAAAACCCAGTTTCTGACGTGGCTGACTCAGCAAGGGCTTGGCTCAAAACAAACACATCCACGCAGGGAGCCACTGAAGCAGCGACGGGTGGCACATGAAGGGACGGCGGCGGCAGCGCTGCGGAGTTTTGGCACTCTGGGTCCAACCTGGCTGAATTCCTGGACTCCTGGCTGATGCTTCATCCTGGTGAGAGTGGCAGGCCCAGTTCTCTGAGTGCTCCAGCAGCTTCTCCTCTCCTGGACTCCGGGCTGCTCCAACAGGGCGTGAGTCTCCTTTGCACTCTGTTCTCCCAACTGTTGTCTCCCGCGTTGTCGCTTTTTACATCCCCCTTCTCCTGTATTCCCTGGGTTCCTTCGGTGGGACTGAGTCACCGTCTCGTTCCCAGCCACCCACGGCGCTTTTCCGGCGGTGCCCCTCCGCAGAAGGTGCTTGGTTACCATGGCACCCGAGTGCCCTTCTGTTCTAGATGCCAGATTAGATCTGTTCTCATGGTGACTGTGCCTCTGCTGTTCCCCACCAGCCCGGAGCCGCAGCACGCGTTTAACGAGCTCGCTCAGCTCACACACCGCCGCTCCTCTCCACTCCAGGGGGAGACTCCTTGAGATCCAAGACGAGCCAAGTGCTCCTTGCCACAGCGTGGAGTTTGCATTTCCTGCACTACCAGCCTCTCTGTTTTCCTCGCAGCTCCGGGAACGGGGCAGGAAGAGGTTGTTCCTGTTGCGTGGCTCTCTGCTGATCCCATCTGTGAGGAGTCAGCGTTCCTGCTCCTCGCTGCCTTCCCTCAGCATGGATACTTGGCGCAGGGGCTCCATCAAATCCACCACCTTCTTCCGACGCTTCTCCCTCAGGAGGCACAAAAAACTGGGCAACCAAGTCATCATCCTGAACCAGAACAGCCACACTCTGGACACAGACAGCCAGAAGAGGGAATGCTTGAGGGACAAGTCTGAGTACCTGTCCTGTCAGAGTGAGCAGAACCTGGCCAAGGCACAAGCTCCTCCCAAGCCTCCCCGGCTGTACCTGGACAGTTCCAGCTGCCCCAACATCATTGATCACACGGATTCCCACTCTGACCTCTCCTTTTCCGACGCTGCTCCGTACCACAAAGCCACTCCAACGCACAAGGACCAGGCTACAGAGCACGGCACCTCGGAGGCAGGTCTCCCCAACAGCACCACTCTTCCCGACCTGGCTGACCCCTTCCTGTCCTTCAAAGTGGATTTGGGGCTATCTCTCCTCGAGGATGTGCTGCAGACCCTCAGGAAACAGAACCCGAGGGATTACGCCATTTGAAGGTATTCCTTGTCCATCACATCCCAGTTGCTCACTGCTGCTGCCAGTTCCTCTGATTCCGGCAGGAGGAAGGACACTGGAGCGTGCCTGTTGTGTGTGGCCTGTTTCATTGTCCTCACCCACCACAGACCATCCCTGTCCTTGCCAAGGAATCCTCTGGAGCAGAGCTCATGGGCTCTGTGCTCAGGTGAGAGCACTCTCTGCTGTCTCGTGGGCAACTTTCCACTCTCCATCCCAGGAATTTCCCACTCCGGACTGAGCATCCCCTCCTCAGGGAAGACTGGCATTTTTTTGGAAAGACTTCTTCTGGGGATGTGACACTGTGGGGCAGGGATTTGTCATGGATCACTTGTGGAACAGCAGGCAGCCTGCAAGGAGGCAGCAGCACTGCACCCCAAAGCCAAAGCTTTGAGGGCTGAGAGATGGGAACTGGGGCTTCTCCTCCCACCATGATGGATGTGAAAGCTCAAAGCTGTTCCTCTGTTTTTTCTCCTCCTCCTTGTGGGTTTCTTTTCCCTTAACTCCAGTGCAGGTGGCACTCCCAGCCTGGAAACAGGTAAGCATCAAAGTAGGCTCCTGATACAGCACCAGCAGTGGATTTATCCTCCTGGCAGGAGAAGAGATGTCTCTGACACTGCTGCCCCACGCATGCACTGAGCTCCCAGCTGTACAGACATAGAAGAATAAATGTATCTGTGACTGGAAGTGTCTGGTTGCCTCATTTCGTTGGGAACAAGCCACAGAAATCCCAGGCACCAGGAGCACAGGGTATCTGGAGTGGCCCAGGTCCATCCTGCCTGGCACTGCAGGGTTTTATGATGGGGAGGGGGGAATCAGTGTGGCTCTGAGGGAAGGACAGAGCTGCTGGGACTTGATTTTCCCCTGAGGAAAGCTCACACAGCTCGGGGCAAGACAGGAACAGTTCCCCACTCTGAGTTGGACAGTGGGAAAGGCTCTGCAAGGCTCAGCACAGGACAAACTGTTAAAATAAACTACCAGTTCTTACCTTTTTGACTATTAGAGCTCTGTTTAAAAATAATAATAATAAAACCTCTGTGCCTCCAGGTAACCAGGAGCTTTGGAAGTGGCCACAGCAAAGTGCAGGGACATTCCAGGGAAGGCATAACTGCCTCTTAGCCTGTGAGATTCACCTCCCAAAGTCAGGTAATAGAAAATAAACCCTCTGAAACCTCTGAAGGAGCTTAGGACCGGTACAAGAACACCAGGCAGGAGGCTTTTTATCAGGGCTGAATGGCTGAGAAGCACTAGCAGGGAGATTCCACTGAAGGAGCAGGGAAAATCTTCCCCAAACTGAGCATTGCAAGCTGTTGGAGTGGCAAAACAAGCTCTCTGCAGCCACTGTGTGCTTTGAACCATAACACAGCCACTGCTCTCAATAGGCCTGCAGTAATACTGGCCAAGCCACAGCTTTTGAATTCCAAGGGGAACCTGGATCCTGCTTGGCTCCAGCAGCTCTCCAGGAACTGCTGGACAACGTGCACCTGTTGCTGTAGGAGACAACAAGGCTGTGGAAGATGAGCAGCCTCCCCACAACACAGCTTCCAACTGGGAACTGCTTCCAATCCCCTGGCTGTCCTTTACCTGTAGATTGTGGCACTCAGGTCCTGGCTGGCTCTCCCAGGCAGGGAGTACCTGGCTGCCTGTCCCAGACAGGGAGCAGAGGATGAGTAGTGAGCACGTTGCCATGAGAACACTGCAGATTTGGGCTGATTCCTGAAGCAGAGCAGTGAAGGAGCTGCTTTTGCACAGAGTGAGAACAAAACGGGGGTGGATTCAGACAAAAACAGAGGGGGGAAGCGAATAGGAAGCAAGGGCAGCTTAAATCAGAATGAGATAAGTGCAGCCTGGAAGCAAGAATGTGGAGCTTGGTGGCTGGGAAGAGGCAGAGGGAACAGGGATCTGGGAGCTCACTCTGCACAGTCTTGAACTGGAGAGCACAAGCTGGAAGCAGATCAGCCAAGAGGAGCTGTAAACACATCACAGGTTTTAGAAGCATCCTAGTGGATGCAGCAAGAGGATTTGGGGAGGGTCTGGAGTAGAAACAAGGGAAAAAAAGGAAGGGGAGCAGCTTGGAGATGCAAGGCTTCAGTGCAATCCCAGGGAGTGCAGCTCCTTCCAGCTAAAAGGACAACAAAGCACCAGCTGTGCAGGTCCCTGGCAGCTGCTCCTCAGCATTCCCAGAGCCAGGTGGGATTGAGGAGGCTGTGCTGGGTAGGGCTGAGTCACCAGCACCGTGTGCTGCTTTCCTGCTCTCCCTGCTGCCCCACCACACTAATCCTGCACCGCAGGCAGACGCTGCACTTCCACACTAACAAGCTCTGGGCATGGAAACAGGCCAAGACAAACTCAGGGATCTGAACCCACAGAAGCTGGAATCCACTACCAAGCTCCAATTGCACCAGCAGCCCCCTTTGGTAGGAATGAGCCAGTTCTCACTCTCTGCTAGTGAGAAATTCTCAAACAATGTGCTTTGGATTCTGCTTTTTGCCCCAGTTTCCTTCCTAACACTCTGGTGAATCTCCTGTGGCTGCAGGACTCTCCCTGGTCCTAGATAGACAGGATACCAATTAGGTGTTCTGATGCATAATTACAAATAATATAAATAAAATACTTGATAAAAGTATTAATAAAAGTATTAAGCATTCACTCTCATCAAGAGAGTGAATGCACTGAACAATCTCACAAGCTTAAACTATTTAGGGAGTGAACACACAAAAGGGTATTTAGTTTGATATTGCTGTCTCCTCCCTCCTGCAGACCCTAAGAACAGAGGTTTCCAGCACTGGAACTTCATCCTCCTGGGAATGCAGTGAGTAACCAAGACTCTCTAGTGGAACCTTTCAGCAGCTCTCACTCAGAGGATTCCAAAAGTCACGACATATTAAAAAATCCCATCAGAATGGCACTGGAGGATTTGGGCTCAGCAAGGAACATCCTTGTTTTTCACTTGGGAGAAAGGGAATGTGTGAAGATCCAGTCATCCATATAGCTCCAGTTCCCAGTGAATGTGCTGCTGCCCAGGCAAAGAGGTTCTTTAGAAAGTCAGGCCTGACCCCAAGAGCTTCTATCTGACAGCACACTGAGATTTAGGCTGTTACAGCACCAGATTTCCACCCCACAGCCCGTTCTCCTCACCTGTGAGGTCCTGGGCTGGCTGGTGCTGTCAGGGAGGACGGTGCTGGGGCGGCTCTGGGGCTGGCCCTCCAGCCAGGAAATCTTCAGCGGGTTATTTAGCAGGCCAACTTCATTCTTCACAGCCATCTCCTGGCAGGGAAAACATCCTTCCATCACCACCTGAATTTCAGACTGAATTTCAAGCCCTCAGCCATGGGCAGGGACACCTTCCACTCTGAAATGGATGGTCTTTTAAGGTCCCTTCAAACCCAAACCATTCTGTGATTCCAATCTGTAAAATTTTAAGCATCTTTCCGACCCAAACCATTCCGTGACTCTCAGATTTCACAGCTGCCCTACATGAGAAGCACCTTCATGGTCCATAGTCCTGCCAGTACTTTTGATATACTGATCACACACAATTCTAGGGGGTTTTATTATTTGGATATTAGTAAAGAAAAGCTCGAAGGAAACCCTTGTACAGCCCAAGCTGATGGAACTACTAAAATTTAGGGTAACTGATGGCTTCTGCTCCCACAGCCACATGAATTATTTTAACTCACAGTGAGTCAAGACATTTTGGGTTGTTTTTCACTGCAAATGCCTGATATCACCTCCAAAACACATAAGCCCACCTCCAAGGCATTTCACCTTCAGAGAGAGCTGAGTAAGTGCTCAGTGCCTGATTTTTAAGGCAGTGCCTCTTCCCTCAGCCTGTTCCATGCACAACCTGTTTATGTGCCTGATCTCTGGGTTTGTGCCTCCAGCTGTGCCACTCCCTCCGTGCCTCTGTGCCTTTAGACTCTCATTACCCTTCTCCACTGCCTTAATGACAGGGCAGTGTCCTGGCTGTCACCGGGCCTGTGCCACCCCCAGCACACCCAGCAGGGGTTCTGCACACTCACGGCTGCCTTCACCGTGGCAAATTCCACCACTGCACTCCCAGTCTTCCTGCTGGAGATCAACAAATTGAGCACATCACCATACTGTGGAAAGAAAGAAAGGAAGGAAAGTTAATTACAGAGCCAGGGAGAGATGTCAAGTTCATTTATCAAATGAACACAAAGAGAAAACATGTGTTTTCACAGACATGAGGTTTGAGCTGTCACCATTTCTGTCCTGATCCCACTATTTCTGTCATTCCAGGAAATAATCTGGGAAGGCATGGAGCTACACACTTGGCTCCCAGCAAGCCCCAGTACAAGAGGACTCAAAGCCAGAGCTCAGAGGGAAAATAAAGATGCCAGGCTGGAATTGATCAGATCAAAAGGCTTGTCTGTGCCTGTCTCTGCACTTCCCACAGCAGGGATGTGGAGTGCTTGAAGTGAAGGATGAGTGCACCACAACCACAGAGCCAGACTAAGTGGGCAGGAGGCTTCCAGTGGGAAGAGTTTGCAGTTGCTCTGTTTCAGCAAGAGTCCCTGCTGGGAGCCAGGCAGAGCTGTTAGCTGAGAAACAGCTCCCAGCTCAGCGATCAAAGGATCCAACTTGCCTCAAAGGTTGGATTTGATGATTTAAAAGATCTTTTCCAACCTTAATGACTCCATGATCATGCTGATGAGCTTTGAAAAAGGCATGAGAAAGATGAACAGGGAAGGAAATGAGCCACTCCAGTTTATAGCTGTTTAGATCAGATTACCTGTTTAGATTAGATTATTAAGATAAAATCATTCCTTCCTTCCTTCCTTCCTTCCTCTGAGGGTGGGGATGCCCTGGCACAGGTTGCCCAGAGAAGCTGTGGCTGCTCCATCCCTGAAAGTGTCCAAGGCCCGGTTGGACAGGGCTTGGAGCAGCCTGGGATAGTGGAAGGTGTCCCTGCCTGTGGCAAGGGGTGGAACTGAATCATTTTTAAGGTCCCTTCCAACCCAAACCATTCGATGGCTCTGTGATATGCAGCTTCCCAGAATCCACTATTCTTACAGCACTGAGAGCAGGGGAAGACTCAGTAACAAATAGGGAAGAGTGTCAGACAGGACCTTTTGCAGGATCTGCAGCAGCACATCTTTGGAGTATCCCCCTCCTGTCTCATCTTCCTTCCTGCATTTCCACCTGAGCTGGGAAACAAACGCCAGGAGTTAAATTTTTCCCGTTTGGAAGTGCTGCCTGCTGAAGCAGCTCCCAACCCCCTGCACATTCCCCACGTCTGCTATTTCCAGCCACACTCCCAGGCCTGCCAAGACAGTGATCTCAGCATGGGAGTGAGCACAGGGAACAAACTGTTTGGGGAACAGGGAGAAATGCTGCTCACTGGAATAAAAAAAGATCGCACTTGAAAGGATGCTAATGGCTCTGCCAGGGTAATTAGCAGATGTTTCCCTGTTGCTTAAAGCACAGACAACTCAATCCCAGGCTCAGAAATATGGAGCAGACAAAGAAAAGGTGAGTGAGGAAGGAATTCTAACAGCAAGGACAGGAGCTGTTCACTTGATGATGCACATTCCATGGAGGAATTTCATCTCCAGTATGAAAAAAGATGTGCCAGCTCAGCAGGGCTGAAATGTCCCTTCTGTTTTCCAGCATGTTCTATCAGTTTTCACCAAAACACAGCTTTTCAAGGATGCTTTACCTTGAGCTTAGGAGTTATTTTGCCTTCTGCTCCATCTCTTTCCTGCTTGCCTAAAGAGAGAAAAAGCAAAAAAAAAAAAAGAGATTGAAAGGACATGGGTGAAAATTCTTCAGCTTTTTACACAATTCTTTTTCCCTAAGAACAAACACATGATGAAACACTTTGAGATTTCCACTGGACCATTCCAGTCCCAAAAATCTCGTGCAACAGGAACTGCAGCACAGACTGAATACTCCATGGCAACATTTTTCCCTTCTAGGAAGCCCAGACTTGCCATGATCAAGGCTAGAACAGGTCAGCAAAAATACAAGCAGGAGACGCGTTCTGAGGCGTTTTTCCCTGGAACAAGCTTCTGCTGGGACAACTGGAAAAATTAAGCTGGCAGAGAGCCCAGTGCCACCTGCAGGTGAGGGCTCCAGGCTCCCCTGTGCTCACCTTGGCTGTGCTGCTCCCTTTCCCGGCGGATTTGCTCCCTGATGAGCCTCTGCTGCTCCTCCAGCTGCCGGGAGCCCTCCTCACGCAGGCGGATTATCTGTGGCACAGGGAACACAGCACGGACACCTGAGGCACAGAGCCAGGGCTGGAATGGCAATTCCACACAGCCTGGGTCTCACATCCAGCTCCTGGGACACCTCTCCTGCCAGTTCCCCTGGGACAGCTCCAAAAAGAGCTGCCTGGTCTGGTGGAAGGGGTCCCTGGGCATGGCAGGGGCTGGAACTCAAACCATTCCAGGACTCTCTGATTCACGGAGCCTTTCAATCCCAAAGGTTGAATGACTGCTCTCCAAAAATTTTTTGCACCTCATCCCATGGATTTCATCATGAATGGAAATACTTCCAGCAATTCTTCTCAAAAATAGCAGGGAGAACTAAGAATTGGTCCTTACTTCTTCCTCTAATGATCTTGTTATCCTGATCTCCTCCTCTTCATTCTCCTGGGACTGGGCTTCTCGTTCTCTGGCTTCAAGATCTGCAGAGAAAGAAACAAAATTAAAACAACCCAAAGAGAATTTGAATTTTCCCTGCTGACCAGAGGAAGATGGAGAGATCACAAACCTGGCCACAGCTACACCAATATCCTGATAGCTCTGCTGTCTCTCCTCTGGCACCACACACCAAAGGAGTCTTCATAGTCCTCAACCCCCTAATTCCCACAACAGCACCTAATTCCCTCCTTCCCAGAGCAGGACCACCCCAGCTATGGCTGTGGGAGGAGATTCCAGACTCATCCTACATGGATTGATCCCTGAGGGATTCCTGTGGAAGGAGAAATGCAAACAGCCAGCTAAGGGAGACTTCAGGAGAACATGAGGGCTTGATTTTTCTTACCAAGCTTTACTTTCTTCCTCTTCTCATCGAGTTTCTGTGTCCTTGCTGCAGCCTCCTTCTTCGCCCTCCTCACCCTGTCATAGGCTGCCTGCCAAGGAACCAGCACAACAGTGGGAAACTACAGAAACCAGGAGAGAAACTGGAAAACAGGGAATAGAACGACATCAGGGATTGCTAAAACCCTGTCAGTAGAAGTGAAGCATCTGCTGCTTCTTGGATTACAAGCTTTTCCAGGACCTGAAAAGAGGAGCTCATGTTTTTAGCTTTAATCACTTGGAATCAACACTTTTCTGGAGAGAGTTCCTTGCTCATTTTTGGTTTGTTTTTACTCTTTCCAGGGACATTTCCAGTTTCTTTCAGGCTTTGGGCAGAGGATTCTCAGCCACTTCCTCACAGCTCCAGAAGGATCCAAGCTCTCCTGTGTCCCATAGACAGCAAAGCTTGGAGCCTCAGGAATTGCATCCAGGTATTTGTCAGCCTCTGACTCCACAGGAATGGCAGATGCACCATTGCCATGTGAATTTGGTATTCCTGAATCAAGGATGGCCATCACTAGTGTCATTAAATGGGATATGCCCCAGTCCAGCATGTTATTAAAGGCAGAATCTCAGGGCAGAGCTGCTCCCAGCAGCAAATCCCAAAAACAACATTTCTCCAAGCACCTGAGAATGGATCTCATGGAGAACCAGGGGGAATATCAGCTGAGATTTGTATTCATGGAGTCTCAGTTGGAGCAGAGAGCAGGACAGGCAGGAATACAGTTCCCAGCGACACCCCAAAATCCCACTCTTCCCAAATGAGCATCCTTACCCTGGCTGCTGCATCTGTGAGCACGGCCAAGGCCTGGGACAGCTGGTGGAAGATTTCCGCTGGGAACGAGAAGAAATAAGGGCAAGATGAGGGAAACCAGGCGAGGGACCTGGGGAAGAACAGGAAAGATAACTCCTGCAGGAAGATCTCTCCAAGGCAGAAAAATCACCTCCACAAGAGATTTTCAAGTCAACCTCTAGCCAGGGCCACCTCAACTCAAAGGTGTTACACGAACTTGGGAGTAAATAAAGAAATAAAAAATGGGATTGTTTCATTTTAAGAGAAATCTTGGAGCACAAAAGCTTGATTTTTCTTACTGATTTTTTTTAATTTTAGGTTGCAATATCTCCTTCATGCCACATTTAGCTGGAGCCCAGGATTTCCTTCTCCTTCTCCATCCTTTTCCTTCAACAAGTCCTGCTTATGTTGTATTGGAAGTTATTGCATTACAGCCATCTATCCTTTCAAAGTCTTTCCTCTTGTCCCATTACAAGCACTGGCAAATTGTATTTATTTTTTTATAAAGATGAATTATCAGTCTTGACACACAAAATACAAAATAACTGCTAATTCTACAACCTCCATCCACAGCAGTCACTCGCTGCAGGCAGCTGAAATTCCCCCTTGCCCTGCCCAAGATAATAATCCCATATCCTTATCCCAAAATAATAGGATTTACCGAGTGCTGGTGAAGTTTGGACTGTGTTTTGTTTGTGACCAAACAGGAAAAGGTTGGGGAAGTTTGGAGGGGTGCAGTTGTAACTCCAGCAGTGACTTAATGCTGGTGTTTCTAAACCCAGCAGGGATTGTTCAGCCTTAAAAAGCAGAGTTAACACCAACAGCAGTAACTCCCAGCCTTGTGCATTCCCAAGGACACACACCCAGCCATTCCCTCAGGATTTAGGGAAGCAGAGCCACTTCCAGGAGCCTGGAGAAGTGAAAACTGCAGCAGGAAGAGCTGCCCCATCTCACCTGCCCGGGGGTTGTCCGGGTTCTTGTCAGGGTGGCAGGTCAGGGCCTTCTGCCGGAACGCTGTCTTCACCTGCAGGGGCCAAACTGGGACTTACTGGGGGGAAACTGGTTTGTCTCTGCTCAAAAAAAGCAACCTGGAAAACCAAATTAATCCCCGTGTTCAAGGGTAACCCACTGGGCCCAGGACATGGCTGTGTCTAGAAGGAGTTGGAGCTTTTAAACGTTGTTTTTACTTCCAGGTGTCTTGTGTTGTAGCAGTTAAACCTCCGGTGAAAAAAATGGGAGAGGGAAAGGGAAGGAAAAAAAATGGGGGAAGAGAAAAGACCCAGAAAGAGAACCAAAAAGAGGGAAAGGGAATCAAAAAAGGAGAAAGGAAAAAAGCAGGAAAGGAAAACGAATGGGGAAAGGAAAAGAAGTAGAAAAGAAAAAAAAAAAAGTAAAGAGAACAAAAAATGGGGAAACGGAGAAAAAAAAAGTGGAAAGGGAAAAAAAAGGAGGAAAGGAAAAAAGGAAGCCCCTCTATCCCACTCCCAACCAATTCCCTGCTAAAACAAGTGGGAAAAGTTGTGTCCCGACCCCACCTGGTGGCCAAAACTCCCGGGATTGGGAATGTGCAGGAAAAGCCCTGCAGATGACCCCACCTCCTGCAGACGAGTCCAGCCGAGGGAAAGGGGTTCCATCCTCCAAATTCCCATTTCAGCAAAGAATTCCTTCCCAATGTCCCATCCAACCCTGCTCTGTGACAGTGAGAAGCCATTCCCTTCTTATCCTGTTATTCCAGGCCCTTTCCCAGAGCCTCTGCAGCTCTCTCGGAGCTTCCTTCCTGTGTTTAGCACTGACTAACCAACTAAATTCAATTAAAAACCAGAAACATGTCATTCCAACCCCACAAAATTAACTGGGACAGATCTCTAACAACTGGATTTTTGGATCAACACGCGAATTTCCTTTCTGGAAGCACACAAACAAAGCGACAGCAACAGTGTCCCGGACCAACGCCACGGTTCTCTCCGAGCCATCTCCTCCAAAGGCGCTTGGAGCAGCCCCTCAGCTGGGCACTGCAGAGCAGCCGGGAGCACGCCGCTCCCGAGGACACCGGGACAAGGAGAGAAGGGAAAGAAGGGAGAGAAGGAGCCCGTCCCGAGCCGCCAGGACACTTCACCTCCTTCTCGGACGCCTTTTCGCCGATTCCCAGCAGCCCGTAGAGGTCCCGCTCCAGCAGCTCCTTATCCACCGCCATCTTCGCGCTTCCCGGTTCCGCTCTTGGCGCCGCGGTCGCTGGGAAATGTAGTCCCCACACGCCGCTGCGCCACGGGCCGCCTGGGAAGATTGGACTACAAGCACCGTGATGCACCGCGCGACCCCAGAGAAAGGGAACGGTCAAGGTGCGCAGTGCCCTGCTGGGCATGCTGGGTGTTGTAGTTCTTTAGCGGCGCCTGCGAGCGGGGAGAAACTGAAGGAAAACTACAAGTCCCGTGGGGCCGTGCGCGGGCACTAAGTCCTTAGGGAAAACAGCACGGGGGTCCCGCGGTCCCCCAAGGTCACCACTGACCGTGTCCCCAAGTGCCACAGACAGATCCGCATTCACGCACTAAATCCTTCCAGGGGTGGCACTCCACCACCTCCTCGGGAAGCCTGTGGCAGTGGGGAGTGGTGCCAGCCCAGCTACAGCCTGTTCCCAAAAACATACTTGTTTTTGTTGTCCCCAAAAAGCATCCATCTCGGCCCAAGGCACATTCCTTGCAAAGTTCTTGTCTTCTTATTGATCTAAGAGGCCTCCCTTTCCCCCTGCGCAAAGAAGTGAGCACTGTAGAAGAAAGCTTACCCAATTATTCCCATACACAGGACATGGAATTTTTCAGCCCTTAGTCCTTTATTGCAGTAGGATTTGTCTCCTTGTGGCTGAAGATGACTTACCTTTATCAACAGCAGTAACAAATCATGAAGAGATCATGAAGAAAACTGGATAGCCATGAACCCAGCAAAATGAATTGTTTCAGAGAGGGTTTTCTTACCCAGCAGTGCAATAAACAGAAAGATTCCTGGTGCGTCTCCATGGAGCCTCACCCAAGCAGAGGCTCAGCTCTCAGGGTGCAGACTGAAGTCATCATCAGTGCTGTTCCAAGCCCTGCTCCACTGCCTCCTCCTTCTTCTTGATGAGAAACCTGGAATGGTTTGTGCTCAAAGGGATCTCAAAGATCATCCAGTTCCATGATCTCCGGTTGCTCCAAACCCCATCCAACCCACCTGGAACACTTCCAGGGATGGGACAGCCATAGCTTCTCTGGGCAACCTGTGCCAGAGAAAAATTTCTTCCCAGTATTCCACCTACATCTCCCCTTTTCCAGTTTGTAGCCCTGGGCATGCCGAGGCCACCTGTGGCCATTGTGGTGCCACCTCGGGGACCTGCTGTGGCCTCCCCCTGAGGATCCCCTCTGGGTTCCCCCTCAGTGACACCTTCTGGCCCTGCAAGACACAAAATTTATCCACCGATGCCTGTCCCTAAACCCAAGCACAACACCTCAGTCCTTCAGGGCTGTCCCAACAGTGGCCCTTTGTGACAACGCCATCAGTGATGTCACAGCAGCCACAGGACACGGGCCACATCACAAAAGCAGGACAGGGGACACAGAGCCACAATCCCACGGTGAGACCTGTGGGATGCAAACACCGCTCTTCCAACCCCACCACTGCTGAGGTGCGGGACAGCCCCGGAAGGACAAAGAGCTGCGGGGTTTTGGGGACAGCTACCTGCAAACAGACTTTGTGCCTCTTGCAGGGCGGGATGTCATCGAGGGAGGACACTCCAGAGCCGGGCACTTCTGCCACCAACACCAGCCAGGCCGCCCCGGCCGCGGCGCAGGACGAGAACCGGGAGGACGGCGCGTGCCCGGAGTGCCGGCACATCAGCACGGCGTGCTCCAGCTCGTGCCGGCACTGCTTCTGCCAGCTGTGCCTGTGGGACTGGAGCCTGAGCCAGGCCGTGTGCCCTCGCTGCGGGCGGCCCACGCGCCACCCCTACCCCCAGCACGTGGCCCTGTACCACGAGGTGCAGGACTGCGTGTACGACAACAAGCGCCGGTGGCACGGCCGCTCGGCGGGGCTGCCGAGGAGCTGCTCCCGGTATTTGACACGCGGCGGGCCCTGGGAGAGGAGGAGAAGGAGATCCATGAGGTGGCCCCGCGATGGCCGCCGGCGCTCGTGGCACAGCCGAGGCAGCGACTCGCCGAGGAGGAGGTGGCGGCAGCGGCAGCAGCAGCAGAGAAGGGCTTGGGAGGACGCACCTGACGAGGGCCAGACTCCAAGGCTGGAATGGGCCATCCCGGCCTCCTCGCAGGGAAGTCGATCCCGGCGCGGGTCGCGCAGGTCGCGGAGCCAGCAGGAACGGTCACGGAGCCACCGCAGGTGGAGCAGGGGCAGGGAGCGCTCCCAGAGCTGGGATAGGCGGCGGAGCAGGGCCTCCAGGAGAGACCAGGACACCCAGACAGGCTCCCAGCACCGCTCCATGAGGCGGAGGCGCTGGAATGCTGATGACAGACACGCTCCAAGGCCCCAGCACGACGTCCCCTCAGAGAGGAGCGAGACACACCAGCGGGAAGACGCCGATTCCTCCAGACAATGGCGTACGAGAAGGAGGCGAAACCGGGGCAGATCCCACAGGAGACACCAGAACTCCCAGGGATTGGTGCCCCAGGACAATTCCACAAACCAGAGGCGCTGGAGGAGCTGGAATGCTGATGACAGACACTCTCCAAGGCCCCAGGATGACACCCCCTCGAGGAGGTGGCAAGGCAGGGATTCCTCCAGGCAGCAGCACCGGACAAGGAGCCGAAGCCGGGGCAGATCCCACAGGAGAGGCCAGAACTCCCACACAGCCTCCCAGGGAACGGTGGCCCACGACAATTCCATGAGGCAGAGGCAGCGGAGGAGCTGGAATGGTGACCAGGAACGAGCTCCAAGGTCCCAGCAGAACATCCCACGCTCCTCAGGGAGGAGCCGGCACCGGCGCAGGAGCAGGGACTCATAGCCCAGCCTCCCAAAATGGGAATTGCCACGTGCAGGCTCGGCCCTGGATGTCCAGGCAGGTTTTGGTGATCTCCCAGGATGGAGCCACCAGATCCTCTCTGGACATCCTGTTCCAGGGCTTGACTCGCTGCAAATAAACAAATGCCACCTGAGCCAGCACTCCCTTTCTTTTTTCTTTTTTTTTTTGTGTTTTTGCCACCTCAGGAGGCTCCACAGATATTTTGGAGCATCCCAGGCCCTTGGGCTGCCCTCATGAGCTTCATCCTTTCCCTCTGTGAGCTCCCCCCAGCATCACTGAGTGCCTCTCTGGATCAAGGAAGGACCTGAGGTTTCTTCCACTCTCCAACCTTTTCATGGCTGAACCTGACTTGGATTTTGCCTTTGCTTTCCCTTCAGTTTTATCCAGGGAAGTTTTGCTGGGAGAAGTTAGTATCCCTTAGCATTTTTTCAGCAGAGCCACTTGGTACCGGAATGTTTCCCCCAAAAACCCAAGGTGTGACTGATAAAATTCAGTGCTGGAAGTGCCCAAGCCCAGCTCCAGGACCAAAACTTGTCCTAAACTTCCCTCCCAGCTCTTATCCCAAATGCCAGCCTTTGGAATCACCCCACTAACCTGCAGTGTGCCATTGATCTCTAATTTGGGGTATCAGCAGAGCTGATCATCTCCCTAAATGCATATTCAGCATGTGGGATGTGGATTTTGCCTATGGATACATTCTCTGCTGGATGGAAGGAGGCTGGTCACACTGGATCCCTCTTGCACTGCAAGAAAGAATTGGAAAAAAAGCCATAAAATTCGACAAATGGTGAAAAGCAGGAGCCTGGGCACACAAGAGGTGAGCAAGGATCTTTGATATCCACATCATGCTCCAGTAGAGCCACTCCTCTGCTTGATCAAGTTTATTTTTCTTCCTCAGAAACCTGTTTCAAATACACCTGGAATTCACTCATTCTCCCAAATCTACTCAAAATGTGGGCTCTTGCTACCTAGAAACCACACAGAGCCTCAGGGGGGAAAAGCATTGGAGGTGTGGAGGTGGCCACACTCAGCACCAAAATTATCCTGGTAGTTTTTCCAGGATAGATTTAATTTTTTCATTAAATACAAAACTTCTCCTCAGGTATAAACTGATGTTTGTTTATATCCTGGAAAGTCCTCTCTGAGCATGGTGTCAGGGGCCTGGAAATGCTGGATATGCACACCTGAATATACACACACAGACATTTCACAGGGAAAACCCTGGAAAAAAGGCAGCATTCAGTGTGGATGGATGTTGGTGGCAGAGCCACTATTTTAGGGTAATGACGAGTAAGAAAATTGAGACAATTTCTGTTGAAATTAAAAACAAAAAAAAAAACAACAAAAAAAACCACACACAAAAATAAAATAAAATAAAATAAAACAAAAAAGATCTTGGAAAAGTGCAAAAGGCTGGAAGTCTGAGGGAAGAGGGAATGCCTGTGGCCAGCACTGCCCTCGGAGGTGTCTGTCCCAGAGCTGCCCAGCCTGGATTCAGGAGGTTTTTACAAACACTGGCACCTCTGCCAGGCTGGCAGAGTAATTCCTCAGGGTGGTGCCGCCATCAAACACTCGGGCAGAGTTGGTGTCCAGCCAGAGGTGCCCCTCTCCTGGCAGGTAGATATCCCTCCACGTTTGTCCCTTTTCTGTTATTGGAGCAATCAGGACCTGCAGGGAAAAGAAAAAGAAAGAATTTCAGCAGAGGGAGGATTAGACAGTGGGGATGAGATGGTCATCAGGGAATCCTGGAATGGTTTGGGTGGGAAGAGACCTTGAAAAGCCATCCAGTGCCACTCCCTGCCATGGGCAGGGACACTTTCCACTATCCCAGGTTTCTCCAAGCAAGAACTGGGAAAAGCAGTTCCCAAAAGCAGTTCCCAACATTCTGAGACTATTTATTCCTGCTAAATAATTTCACTTCCAAAGCTGGTAGAGGGTTTCAGGGCCCTAAATAAGACTTTAATGAAGAAAGCCAAGCTTTTCCAAGGAGCAAAAACCCCAAACCCACAAAACTGAGCTTGGATTTAAATCTGCTCAAATCCAAGTCCTGGTTTGCACTTGGGCAGAGTTGGATTTACAGGAATAATGCAGAATTCCCACCTCATCTCCAATGAGAAACTCATCCTCTATGGTGAATGCAACTGGATCTGTGGGGCTGAGCCACCAGGCAGGACGGAAGATGGGATATCCCAAACTCTGCCATTCCTCACTGTATTTTAGGAGCAGTGGCACAACAAAATCCCGGTGCCTCTGGATGCACTGGCGGGTCAGATTCAAGACCTGCAGGTGGGGGAAAAATCCATGAAGAATCTGACATCCAGGAAACATCAAAGCAGGCAGGGAAAAAATAATTTAAAATTTAAAAGTGAAGTATAAATTCCTTTGGGAAGGGAAATTACTGAATTGGAATGTCCTGGTCAAGTTATGGTGCAAATGGGAATGATAGTGGATGTTAATTGATTTGGATATCAATCCATTTGTAATACATTTAAATCCATTGATAATGGACATAAATCCATTGGTAATTTAAATGGCTTTAAATCCATTGGTAAATGTTATAAATCAGCTGGATTTAAATTTATTGATAAATATGAATGCATTGGATTTTAACAGATTTAAACCCATTGTTAATTAATTTAATTCAGTGGATTTAAATGGGTTTAAATACACTGCTAATGGATCCATTATCCATTGGATTATCCATAATCCATTGGATTTTAATGATTTTAAATACATTGCTAATGGATATGAATCCATTTGATTTAAATGGATTTAAATCCGTTGATATTTATTATAAATTCGTTGCATTTAACTCTAGTGGTAGTGGTTACAAATACATTGGATTTAAACAGGTTTAAATGCATTGATAATAGATGTGAACCTATTAGATTTAAATGTATTTCAATCCACTTATATTGAACATGAATCTATTGGGTATAAATGTATTTAAGTCTATTGATAATGAATATAAACCCATTGGATTTAAATATATTTAAACCCATTGATAATGAATATAAGTCCATTGGATTCAAGTGAATTTAGATCCATTGACAATGTATATAAACCCATGGATTTAAATGCACTTACATCTATTGATAATGGCTATTAATTAATTGTATTTAAATGGATTTACATCCACTGATAAAGGACCTTAATAAATTTGATTTAAACCCCACTGATAATGCATATGAATCCACTGAACTGAAATATAATTAAATCCATTGATAACATACAAATCCATTGGATTTAAATCTAAACCCTTTGATGATAGATTTATTCCCACTTCAGTGGAAAGCTGAGGACAGCAGCTGGCAGGACAGCTCTGCCAGGCCATCCATGGCTTTTGGGGGCATTGGCCATGCCAGAATTCCTGTCTGGAGTGTGGGATACGTACCCAGGTGTCACAGCAGAGCCAGGGCGGGGTCCCAAAGGCCATCACGGGCAGGAATGTCACAATCTGCAGCCACCTCACAAACAGCTCCGGGTCCCCTGGAGTGGCTCCAGCCACGCTCCCTCCTGCAGGAACGTGGGGCTGGAGTGAGGCTCTCACACGGCATGAAAAGTTTTCCTGGGAAAACTTTTTTCCTGGGAGCCATCACTCTGAAAAGCCGGCACAGCTTCCCTGGAAATGGCACAAACTCCCCAATGCCAAGGACTCACCCAGCCATCCACAAATTCCTGTTTCCTCCAGAGGCTTTTCCCAACTCTTGCAGCTCCCAGGCTGCTGGGACACAACCCCTGGCAGCAAACTGCCCAGCTCTCTGTGCAGGAGGATCTGTGCTCCCATTCATCCCAGCCAAGGGCTCCAGCACATCTTTGGGAAGCAAACTCCCATGCTGGGATTGCTCAAGCCTCGTTTTCTAAGGAAAACAGGCTAAAAATAGAGGTCAAATTGAAATATTGCTCTCAATCCCTATTTCAGGGCTGTTGTTTAGCTCAACTCTCCATGTTTGACACTTCTGCACAGCCCCTGCACACTCAGGGCATGTTTTAATCACCACTAACTCCATCAGCTCCAAGAAAAAGGGAAAGGGATCCACCTGGCCCTGATTAAAGGCTATTTCTTGCCCTTTTATAAAGCTTTTATTTCAGGATTTCTGCAGCCATTTTGCTTCGGAGCAGAAATGCAGACTTGGAGCAGAGCTGCTGGAGTTTTAGGGAATATCCTTTCCCCAGCCACGAGCCTGGGGCTGTGCCAGGTGGGATTTAGCCCAAGACAAGCCCTACAGGGGTGGAACTCTGGGAAGGGCATCCCCGGAGACTCGGCTGCTGCTGGAGCTGCCTGGCAATATTTACATCATAATCTGTTGCTTTTAATCCCTCACTTTTTTCCCCTGGTAACATTCATCCCAATCACGCCAGCACAACGGAAAACTGGGGAGCAAAACGCTCCATAGCACAACTAAGGTGTGAATGCACCTTTTGTGCCTGGAAAAAAAGCTGCAAAATTCACTGCAGAGAAGCCAGAATTAGGGGGGAAAAAATGGAAAACCAGTGCTTACCTACTACATCAGGGATGAAGAAGTTGTAGCCCAGCAGGCTGTAGTGCAGCACAGAGGGGATGAGCCCCTTCAGCCCAGCGTGGCTCCAGTCAGAGCTCAGGGGGCTCATCTGGACAAACAGTGGGAGGTGACTGGATCTGGGGAAACAACACAAACCCTTCAAGGAGCTTAGAGGGTTCGCAGGAGATGAAATTCCACGATGCCCAGCTGGCTTGGGAGTCACTGGGGCCAGATTATAGTGCCAGAATGGTTTGGGTGGGAAGGGACCTTAAAGCCCATCCTGTGCCATGGGCAGGAACACTTTCCACTCTCTCAGGTTGCTCCAAGCCCCATCCAACCTGGCTTTGGACACTTCCAGGAATGGGGCAGTTCTGGGCACCCTATGCCAGGGCCTTGCCACCCTCTGATCCCACAAGGATCATTGACCCCAATACCCTGCCCTACCCCACTTCCTCACCAAGGAACATCTGGAATACCAAGAGCACATTCCAAGCACCGGTTCAACCATCCCCCAGCAAGCTCTTGTGCCCCTCAGCCCCAGCCAAGCCTGTCCCTGGTGCCCACCTGGTCCCGGCACTGATGACGGTGCCATTGCCCAGCGTCGCCAGCGCCGCCGCCAGCACCTCGGTGTATCCATCATCCACCAGCTCAGCAGGAGCAGGGACATCCTGCTCCAGGAAGGAGTTGCCCTCCACTCCCTCGAAGGCCACGTAGGTGGCCCCCAGCGCTTGCTGCAGGCGCCGGGCACGAGCCAGGTACCAGCCCAGCGCTGCCTCGCTGGTGACGTTCAGGCGGGCACAGAGCTGCCCCTTCCAGGTGGTCAGCAGTGGGATCTATGGAGGAGGAGGAGGAGGATGGAAATCCCTGTCAGATCCATAGGATATCCTGTTGACTCCGGGGTGCAAGGTTGAGGGATGCTCTGCTGCCCCCATCCCACCCTGCACTGTCTTGGTGCAGGCATCAACTCCCCAAAAATCCCTGAGCTGGTGGCTAAGGGATCATCAAAATGACCACACAAAATGAGAGATGGGGAATCTTCTGAACACTGGAAGTGCAAATTTTAAACCTGCTTCCCCCAGCACTGCCGTGTGCCAGCAGGATGGGATCGGGCTGTGTCCCTTGATAAATAATAAACCTGAGCATGTTTATTCAGCTTTAATTTTGGTTCGGCGCCCGTACCGAGCTGCCCCCAGGTCGGGGCTGGCGGCTGAGCCAATATCCCGCAGCCTCTCCACCCCGCAGGGAGCGCAGGAAGAGCGGGGAGGTGACACTGGCGTACGGGGACAGCGTGATGGAGAGCTCCAGAGGTTCCACCAGCGCCGGGACCTGCCTCTTCCTGCGCTCCCAGGGCACGAGGTCCTGCAGGTGGGAAAGGATGGAATAAGGGGTTTGCGGGAGCACCACGCTCCCCACGTGCCCGGGGGGTGGCAGGGTGGCCGTACCACGGCGGCGAGGACGGCGGTGCCACGCTCCCCCAGGGCCACCACGCCCTCCTGCAGGCGATGTCGCTTCAGCCTCCTCACCAGCGACCTCAGCCCTCGCCTGACTTTGGCAGCAGAACCTTCCGGGCCGTGGTACCGCCAGATGGGAGACCTGCAGGGTGGGAAATTCCTCATTGTTGGAGTCTCTCTGGATTCTTCAGAGAGAAATCAAAGTGCAGGGATTGAATTAAAACCTTTGGATGGATTGAAGTATATTAAGCCATTCACACATAAAGTAGAGGTGTAAGTTTAAGTTTTAGAATAAGCAAGCAAGTAACTAAGTAAGAATATGTTTTAAGTGCTTTTGAGAAATGAAGGTCTTAGATAGCAGTATAGAAGTGTGAGTTCTAGTAAAGGCTAAAAAACATGGTCCTAGATACTAGTGTTTCCATAAAAGCTCCAAGAACATAGTTTTAGACATAATAAAACTATAGTAAGAATATTGCTTACATTTTTAAAGTAGAACAAGATAGACCATATGCATAGTTTATACATAACCTGGTGTGCTAAGAAACTAAAATTCTAATAAGTTAAGAAAAATTGGTTCATGTTTTTTGCTAGTTGGGTAATTTGTCTTTAAGAATCTATGCACTGGGGAGAGATTTGATTTTGCTTTTGTTCCTGCTCTCTTGCTTTTCTTCTCTTCAGCACCTGAAGAAGATAAGAGCTGCCACAACAACATGGGGACCTCAACAAGAGCAGCCTCTAATTGGGACTTTACTTCTATTTAGAACTCTTTGCCAAAAACTTTAACATGGGATTTAACACTTGCGACTCTGTGCCTTTCAAAACTGATGCGCCCTTGCAATGAACAACTTGATATTAAAAAAAAAAAAAAAAACCAAACAAAAAAACCAACCACAACCCAACACGTGATGAGAGGTGGACATTCGGAAGGGTTCCCACCCTGGGGGGAAGGAGTGCTCACCGCAGGAGCGCGGTGTCCGGCGGTGTCCGAGCTGCTCCAGCCCTGTGCCGGTGTGCGGCCGCCACGTCGGCGCTCACACAGAGCTGGTACTGCAGCGGCTCCGCTCGTCCCGCCGGCGTCTCCAGGCAGAACTGGCGGTGGCTCTCCAGGGACAGCAGCAGGGACACGTCAGGAGCCGCTGTCACCGTCACTCCTTTTGGGGGAAAATGGGAAAATGGTGTCTCGGAAAGCAGCCGGTCCTGGGAGCTACAGGGATGTGCGTGGCAGAGCCTGACTGGTCCCTTCCTGGGTTGATCCCACCACAGATCCAGCCATGCCAACCATCCTCAGCCTGCTCCTGCTATTCCCTTCTAGAGTCCAAAATGCCTTTCGAGGGCTGGATTTCTCCCTTTGGAGCCTTTTGGCATTCAGCGGCCTCAGCAGTGCAGGGCAGCTGCAGCTCATTGGGGTAATACCTGAAGTTGGATGTTCTGCAGAATAATCCAAATATACCCCAAAAAATGACACCAGCTGCTGAACTCCTGCCTGAATCCAGCATCCTATAGCGGCATCAGGAAGTTGCTCGAGTGGAACTGGGGATGCAGCAATGGGCACAGATCTGGGCTTAAAAACAAACCAGGCACACCAAGAGCGTGGGATGTCCCTGGAGTGACTTGAGCCACTCATCCTCAGGCACTCAGCTTCAGTATCACACCTTTCCCACAGGGATGAGGCAGTGGGACCCATCCCATATGCCCTTTTGCTGCTACATTTGCAGGATATTATATTCCTGGAGACATCTACTCTCAAACCAGCTGCTTTAGAGGTGAGGAGAGGGGCAGAGAAGCACAGAGATTGAAGCTGTTGCACACTGGATAGGAAAGGAAGGTGCTTACCTGTGGATCCCAGGAAATATCTCTCCAGGACAGGCCCAAAGCCATCGGGGTTTGTGCTGAGGTCGCCACTGACCAAGGGCTGTGCGGGGCTCTCGGCACCATTGAGGGGCCAGCGCTGGGCACGGATGCTTGGCCCCCCATACCACGAGACATTGGCCATGGAAAAACAATCCTGCAGCCAGGAAAGCATCATCAAAGAGCAAGGAATACTCAAGTAGAGTATTCCAGGCTTGGAGCAAACTGTGATAGTGGAAGGTATCCCTTTTACAGCGTAAAATTATGGTTTTGTTTAAAAAAAAAAAAAAAAAAACACCAAAAGAAAAGCAAGAAGTGCTTCCCAAAGCCTGCCAGTTTTTGCTGGAGGAGCACAAATAAAAATCAAACTGCCACAGCAATCACACTTCTGCACCCCACCACACTTATCAAACACCTCTGAGTAGCAGGTGAAAAAGAAAAAGATGCTGCAAAGGTTTGAGCAAAGAGACTCTGCAGGTGTGAGTGGCTGTGGGACAGGACAACAGAGGGGGAAATTCAAGGAAACAGCTTTAAAATGCACTGAGGGCACTCTCAGAAACCCAGCTGGAAAATCTATGTATTTTGGTTTGTTGGTTTGTTTAGGGTTTTTTTTTTGTTTGCTTGGGATTTTTTTATTTGGTCGGGTTTTTTATTTGGTTGGTATTTTTCGTTCAGTTGTTCTTTTTCTTTTTTTTTTTTTTCCCTTTATTTTACTTTAAAAACACATTAAGCTCTCCAGCTGCCTTCCCTGGAGTTTCTGGGGTGAATCTGCAAATGCAGGTGTCCTCAAGAGCTTTTATCTCCATCTCAAGCTCTCACCTTAATGGCACCAATGTCCTGAGGGTGACACATCCTCCCTCCCAAGGCACAGCTTCCCTCTTTCCCAAGGGCTGATAACAAGAATTTCCCTCAAGAGACTCAGTTTGGAGATTTGGGGCACTTCTCATAGGCCCGACAGTGCCCTGGGATGGAGGACATCCCCGTCCTTGACCCACCTCCTGCCAGAAATCATCAGTTTTCACTTCAAAGCTTCTCAAACTTTCTGCCAAATCGAGGGATCAGCAGGACTTAGCGTCCTCGTGACTTCCCAGGCAGGATGGGCTTCCCTGAAAGATCTGGGGCCGTGAAGGGGGCCTGGGGTGGCAGAAGGGACTCAGAGATTCCCCACTCAACCCACATCGAGTTTATTCCCAATCCCAAGGCTCCTCCTGGAGTCCTGATTCGGGGGCGCAGAGAGGTGAAGTCTCTCCAAGGGGTGGGGAGAGGAGATGTAAATTATTAAAGTGGAAACCCTGGAGGCTCGGAATAGCTGTACCAGGTGTCAGCTGAACTCGTTACACCAGCTGGGAAAGAGGGAAAACAGTCTGTTCTTAACTCAGATTTCGCTGGATCATATTTTCCAATGGTTTGGGGTTTTTTTTAAAAGTGGGGAAAAGCCTATTCTGTCTCACTCGTCCTCTCAAATGCCTTACAACAATGTCAGTGGAGGAGACCTGACACCCACCTTCCACCTACCCAAATTTATGATTTATGGCTCAAGATTTTAGCCATTTCTTATGATTTTAGATTTATGGCTAAAGGGGAACAATCCTCCATCCCAGAGAATCCTGTCCCACTTCCCTCCCTGTTCTGAGAGCTCCCCACAACTGGACACCCTGCTCTGACAGCGTTGCTCTTTCCCTTCCTAAGGCTCCTTCCCAGAGTCTGCTTTTATTTAACTGAGGGAGAAAACAGGGAATGATACCAAAAATGTTTGCAGCGGCGGACACGGATTATTCCCATCCCGCGGGAGCTGCCCATTGTGTCTGTGTTGGAAAAGACCTTCCCGAGGCTCTCGCCAGCATTGTCATCTCCAGCGGGTATTTACTCTGTCTCCATATAAACACAGCTCTCCCATCCCGGGGTCACCAACGTGGCACCACCACAGGATTTTGGGGCCACGATGCTTCCAAATTTTCTCACTTTCCGCATGTGGAAGGCAGGCGGCCACAGTGCGACCCCATAAGTGAGCCGGGGGGGTTATGGTCAGGCCAGACCGTCCCTTGTAGGACCCCAAAGGGTTTGGAGCTGGACAGAGATGTCCCCGTTACCTTCAGGGTGGCGTCGGGGCGCAGCGGGGTCCAGCGGACGCTGTAGCACTCGCTTCCAGGAGCTGCCGGCGGCTCCAGGGAGAGCCGGAGCTCGGCATCCTCCTCCCAGGAATAGCAGAACTGGCCACCGTCGTGCCAGCAGCGGTCCCGGGGTGGCGGGGGCTCGGTGGCCGGCACGCTGCCCACGGCGATGGCCAGCACGGGCCGGCCGGCCGGCAGCGCCCGCAGCAGCAGCGCCCCGCGGCCGCGCTCCCACAGCATCCCCGCATCCCGGCCCCGCAGCACCCACTCCTCCGGGGGCTGCTCCAGAGCCTGCCACGAGATGATGCCGATGGTCATGGCGAAGAAGACGGCCACGCCGAGACAGCCCACGGCTCCTTTCCAGGGCTCCGTCATCTCCCTGAAGCCCAAGGTCCAGGTGGACTCCGGGATTTGGCCGGTGTGGCGAGAGAGGGGCATGGTGCGGTCGCAGGGATGCCGCGGCTCCGCTGCTCTCCCCTCCTGCAGCAGCACGGGAGAGAAAACCCTCTGGGAGAGCTCCAAAAGATCCCCTAGGAGAGCTCCAAAAGATCCTCTGGGAGAGCTCCAAAAGCAGGCACAAAAAAACTAATGAAATTTTTATAAAATCGTTTAAAAGAAAAAAAGCTGCAACTCTGTTCTCTCTGCGCTGATGCCGAGTTAAAGGGAGTCCCTTCCACAGTAAATCCCACTGCTGGGATCGGTGACGGTGGCTCAGCCCCCAAACCAGGGGCTCAGCCCCTTGGCACAGCCAGCAGCACCCAGTGACACCGAGGAGGAGGAGGAGGAGGACACACGTGGCCCAGAGCCCGGGAGGGAGATGGGGCCGCGGACAATGGGAATCGGCTCCAGCCTCCGCTGCTCCGTGGGGTTTGGCATCACTTCCCTGCTCGCTTTGGAAGCGGCAGCAAAGAGCCAGGGGTGCAGGAGAACATCCCAGGGTGGGTCGAGAAAGGAGGGGATGCAACATCCTCTTTCCATCTCGTCTCTCTCTTCCCTGGAAAAGCGTTTGGATAATGCACAGCGCAAAAGCGCCCGTGGGCAGGGGCTGGGGCTGGCTGAGCCCGAGGGAACGGGCACCCACTGTTCCTCCAGGTAAAGGGGTCACTTGTGGTGACAGCTTCATGGGGTGGCACTGGCTTGTCCCGGTATCCCAGGCCCCATCCCACTGCCCGATGCCAGGCTGGGAATGCTGCCACCTCCCCTGGCACGGCGCAGCCACTCCCACGTCACCCCTTACCTAAAGCAGGTTCGGAGATGCTGTCACAGCCCCCGAAGTGTCCTCGGTGCTTTTCCCAGTGGTTTTCCCACCACCAGCAGGTTTTCCTTCTCTTTATCCCAGGGCAGTTTTTCCCTCCTGGCCGTGTCCAGAGCCGAAGGAACTTGATCCAGACTAACCCAGGAGCGATACTTAAGCCAAGCTCCCTCCCTCCCTCCCTCTCTCCCTCCCCTGCAGCCCGCACGTAGCCACAGGTGGCTGCATCCCCAGCAGGGGCAGGACATTCATTTTTAAGGGCTTTTATCCATAGGGGAAACATTTTAATTTTTTTTTTTTTTTGCCAGTTTGCTGAGGCGGCTCTGGTTGAGTCTTCACTCCACCCCTGTGAATCCCCACGTGAAGCCCTGGGAGTGCTGAGCCCCCTCGTTCTCCTGCTTTGGCTCTTGTTGGTGTTATTATCGAATTTTGGGGGGGTTTTATACCTGTTCTTACTTCACATGAGCCACTGGACCCTCCCTTAGATTAACTCCAGAGCTGCCAAAACGGGTGCTGCAGCTAAGGGTGCACCCAAAACCACAGGGAAGCCACTTCCCAGGACACTCGAAATCCCCACTGGTGCAAAAACTCTGGAAATCTGAGATTTCCATCGACTTTTCCATGCTCCAGTCCCCATTCACATTCATCTCACTATGTCTACAGCTGATCAGGGAAGAACTGGATTTTCCAAGCAATATTACAACCTGTTGGCTGCCAAGATATAAAAATCTTGGGATTTAAAAGAGTTTCCCCATCCTGCATCCAGGCAAAATCCCAGCAATCCCAAGGCCAAAGCCCTGCTCACCCCAGACTTCAGGAGAGTCCCAAGACAGCAAAATCCAGGAAAATTCTCATCTGTGGACCAAATAAGTCCCTGGATGGGGCCTTTCCTCTCCAAGATTAATTTTTCATTGCAGGTGGGGTAATATCCGGTGTTGTATGAAGGGAAAATGGTGGATAGCATCAGGATAAGAAGGGGTTCCAGAGTGGAAGAGGAGGTGGATCTAGGATAAGGAGAAAGGATGAAAAAAGCTTGGATATGAGCTAGGAGGGGCTGGGGATCCCATGGGAACACAGTCATGAGAGGTTAAAGCAAAGCTGTAGGTGATGAACTCATGAAACCCCAAAATTAGGTAAAATAAAGGGAAAAATTAAAAAAAAAAAGGAAGGAGGGGTGTTCCTTCCACCAGGAGTGTTACAGGGACTTGAGGGGCCCAACACTCCCCATGACCTGGAAAAGGGGAACAGGTAAAAGTGAATAAACCCTGTGGTGATTCAGAGCTGTTCACCCACAGCATCAGCCAGAGCTGATGGAATCACTTGTGAGGCTTTATAGATCCTCAGGGAGAGCTCGGTTTGGCTGCAAAACCTGCAGAAACAGAGCAAAGGAGAGGAAAAAAAAGGGATCTTTGGGATGATCTGGGATCGTGGTACAACAGGAAGGTTTAATCCTCTGTCCAAGGGAGAGAAAGGGACGTGGCAGCAGCACCCAAAAGCCACAAAAGCTGCCCAAGGATTGGCAATTCCCTGTATCCCACCACAAAATGGGTGGCTGATGAGGTTGTTTGGCTGCAGCAGCTGAAGGCAAAGCTCTGTCACATGGCACAAGATTAAACCACAGCCATGGAATGGCAGAGGGGCCCCCAAGGTGGGATTAGGGAAAGCCCGGGATGGCGCGGGTGCAGTGGGATAAGCAGGGACAGGAGGCCACGCCTGGGTGGGATAGCAGGAAATGAGGATGGTTTTAAAAAACCTTTTCTTAAAAAGCAACTCAAATCCCAGGGAAAAATTCCTGCTGGAGCTTTAAACAATTCAATATTTAGCCAAGTTTGGGCCTCCCCCCAGCTCTGCACATGGCCTGGGGGTTTGGGCTGAGCCCTCTCCCACCCTCCCAGAACTCCTGGTTTTTGGGAGGAGGAATGGATCTATCACATCCTCAGCATGAACTGGCTCCCTCAAGCAGTGAAACCTCCCTTCATCTTCCTCCCACTGCCAACAAAAACCACTTAGCCCTGACTGGCCACAGGAAAAAAAATATTTCGGGGTGGCTCTCTGGATTCCAGAAGTGTGTCCTGCCCCTCTGCCTCCAGAGGGTTTTTTTTTGTTAAATATTTTAAAATCCTCTCCTATGCAAAATGGAGCATCATTCATGACTTTTCAGGGTTGAAAAGACCTTGAGGCTGCCTTTTTTATGCCCAATGGGGCTTCCCAAGCTCCAGGTTGCTGAGGGACCTTGATCTGGTGGCAGGATGTCCCTTGCCATGGCAGGGATTTGGAACTGGATGAACTTTAAGGTCCCTTCCAACCCAAACCATTCCAGGATTCTGGGATTTTCCAACCCTCCAGGTTTGCTGGGCTGTGCAGGATGTGGCACCTGTGGGTGGACAGTGCCCAGGGAAGGGATGGAGTGGGAGCCTGGAAACATTTCTAACTCACCAGCATCCATAAGCAGAGCTCGAGAATCCAAGCTTTTTGGTGAAACACCCAGAAAACAGGGACGAAGGGTTATTCCCACTGGGATTTAGGATCACTGTCCCCTAAGAGAATCTTCCATACCTTGTGGCTCATATTCCTTTCCAGAGTTCTGTCATCACCTTTCAGGATGGCTGGAAAAAGGGAGATTTTCCACTTTTGTGGGGTTACACTTGGGAAGGCCCAGCCCTTTCCATCAATATTTTCCTACAGCCTTTAAGCACCAACAATTACAGCTTCAGCTTCCCAGCCAGACCCTCCAGGGGTTTCTGGTTTGGGGTTTCTTAAATATTATTATTTTTAAAAAAATTACAGGAAAGCTGTGTGGGTTGGCCAAGAGCAAAGGAGACCTGGTGGGAGCAGCAAAGTGTCTCCAGGACTTGGCTTTTCTCCTCCATTTCCCCCAGTGGGCAGCAGCCTCATCCCAAAACTCTCCCCATGGGGATGGATCCTGCAGTACCTCAAAAGTCTACACCAAATTCTCATTTTTATCCATTTATCCGTGATATCTTCAAGCTGGGAGACTCAGGGATGAACCAGAGTGGATTCCCTGAAGCTGACAGCGTGGATGGACATGGATATCCCATCTTCCTGCTCTCCTTGAGTTTATCCAAAGGGAAAAGACACCTTCAGAATCCATCCCAGGAATAAACCAGCCAATGTGCTCTGGTGGGTGTTTCTCCTTGGGTTTTCCTTCCCCTTGCAGTTCCCAGCCTTGCCTTTCAGGGCCAGCAAAAGCCTTTGGCTGTGCTGGAATTCTCTGTGCCTTAGAGAGGTTTGGGCTCCTCACTGGAGCTGAGCTATTGCTCAGTTTAAAAGGAAAATAAAAAAGGCGAAAAGGGTGATGTGGTTCCTAAATCCCCAAATCTCAGCCCATATTTCCTCCTGGAAAGCAATCCCAGATTTCCATGAACTCCAGAGCTATTTATAAAGCAAAAAAGAACAAGCAGCAGGACTTGCACTGACAACGTGGCCTTATAAACAGGAACAGCCCTTGGAAGCCACCATTGTCCCTTCCCATCCCAGCTGTGTCCCCTAAACCAGGAATGCCTTGATTTAAGGCATTAAGGGCTCTTTGTGTCCATGTGGGCTTTCAAGAGTCTCATGTCAAGCAACAGATTTTGGGCAGACTGGGGAACAGCCTGGAGCACCTGAAATAATCCATGGATGGATAATTTTCTAGCTGGAAAATCACCAGCTCCAGCTGCCAGTTTTGGCTGGTAGTGATGGGATGGAAAATCCCCTCGTGTATCCCTTACACCCCTTTTCTCTTCAGGCAAAGCCTGATATTTTGGGGACACCAAACCCAAGTTCCTAATGCACAATATTCCATAAAATTTCTAATCTGGGGAGAGAGGAGCTCACTGTGCTGAGAAAAACGCCCTTCATGAGACACTCGCCCCCCTGCACCTCCAAACCCAGTCCAGGTACCTTGAATCCAGGGAATGTTGCAGCAGCTGGACACCCTCAATGCTCCTGCTCCAATCTCAGATCCCTCAGAGCGGGGTGAGGGTGCTGATTTGGGATCCCTGGAGGCAGCACCTGCTTGGAAAGGGCTGCTGACAATTCCACTCTCCCCACTACTTCTAGGAACAGGGCTGTGGTGAGACCAGATCCATGTGCTGCTCCTCCAAAAAGTCCCAAACCTTTTTCTTTTTTTTTTTTTTTTAATTAAAACAAGGCACAACTGATGATAAAAGCTGTGGCTGCGAAGAGAGAGCAGCTGCACCCCGCGATTTTGGTTTTCCAGGAAACTCCTTGGCAGAGGGGACAAAGGGAGACAATCGGAGGGCTTGGAATGCCAGGGAGCTGCTGGGGGCGAGCACAGCGAGGGAGCTCTTGGAAAGGACCTTTCTGCTTCATCTGCCTCTCCCAAGCTTCCCAGAAATGTGGTGAGCACATTTGCAGCCCCTGCCTGCTGCCAAATTCAATCCAGCCCTGGAGATGCTGTTTGGATAATGATGAGACCAAAATTGTTCAGCTTCTCTCCGTGGAGCTGAGCCACAGCAGGCTGGAAAGGTGCAGGACAACCTTCAGGACACCCAGCCGTTCCAGAGAGGTGACATTTCCCCAGCTACACACAGGAACATCCACCCAGGGGATCAGCACAGGACACTCCAGCTCCATCCACCCCTTTTCCCTGGGGGAGTTCTCTCTGGTGCTCCCCAAGGACAGTTTTGGGGTTTTTTGGAGGGCTCCAAGGCAAACCAAACCCCAACCCTCTATTCCCAAACTGCCCTGAAGTGTTGTTTTAGTGGCATTGCCCTGCTTGGCAGGGAGGAGGCTGCAGGTCCCACATCCCCACGGACCTCCAAGGAAACTCTGGGCACCTCCTTTCCAGGGACCTGCCTTGGACTCACCTTCCCAGGGCTCTGAAACTCCAGGCTCTGCTCCAGGGAAGGCACAGACCTTCCTCTTCTTTTTCTTCTTGTTTTTGTTCTTCCTCCTCCTTTGCCCAACCCCTGCAGACCTCTCACCACAGGAATTTAGGATTTATACCCCCCAGAATCCCCCCCCCACACTCCAAAACCTCTCCCCACCCCAGTGAATGCTGCATCCTCAAGACCTTCCTTTATAAGGCAGAGGAAACTGCCCCTGGAGAGCCATTAGAGGCTCCCAGTAATTAGCAATTACCAGTCCTGAAGAGCTGCCCCTGCCTCTCCTAATGAGGTTTGGTGCTAATTATAGCAGGCAGGACCAGGAGTCCTGGTGAGGGGCCGCAGCAGTGACCACACGGAGCCTTCTGGATTCCTTGGGATATAAAAAAGGGCTGGGGTTACTCCAGGACAGAAATCCCGGCCGTGCCAAGGGCTCCTCCATTGCCAGGAGCACTGGGGATGCTGTTCCAGCACTGGCCTGGCTTCCTGCTCATGAGCTGGTCCTGTCTCATCCATCACTTGGAATAATTCCTGCTGAATATTGCGGGATTCCATCACTCCCGGCTCCAGCCAGCAGCTAAATCCATGCCCTTGGACAAGCCTTGGGGATATTTGGGAACTGAGCAATGTGGAATGAAAGCACCCAAATCTTTCATTTGACAGGCTCAAGTGTTTTCAGTGTCCCAGTGGAGTTTAATCCTCCTGAGCTCTTCTCTCTCCATCCCAGCACTTCCCAAACTGCTCTTCTCCAGTCACACCCACCCCAGCGTCTGGATGACAAACCCCCAACCCAGCTCCCAGTGTTCAACTCCCTTGGGAAAAAATTAACACCCCCTGCTTTGTCCAGCCCCCCTGAGGTGCTTTAGTCCTATTTGGACTGTGCCCATACACAGATCCCTGAGAAAATTTGAATTCACTACATTAAATTTAATTCAGTAAAATTGGGATTTTAATGAAGGTGCTGAGAAGGAGCAGCCCCAAATTGCTTTCCCAGCTCCTTGATGGGGCTCATTTCCCCCCCCTCCCCCCCCATAGGAGAATGTGGGTGTATGAAGAGAAATAGAATATAATGAATCCCCTTCCTTGGAGGGAAACCCCTTGGATAGACACAAGCAACACCAGGGAACATCTCTGGGAGCTGTAGGAGGGAAAAGGGTGCCTGGGTGGGTTCTGGAGCAGGCTGGAGAGGTGGATAAGGCTGTAATCCTCCAGGGAAGCCTTTTAGGGTGGAAGGAGCCAGGAGGGCTCGAGGTGAGGATAAGGGGGATGCCAGCCCTAATTTAAGGGTGATTCCACACCGTGCACTCCTTTCCTTAAGCTCCCTAAAATAACCTATCCTGGGAGTGCCACAGGCGTTGGGAACTCGGCTTTTATTGTCACAGGACACGGCAGCAGACGATGGGATGGGTCACAACAGGAGGGGACAGGGGAGTCACACCACAGGGTCCCAGCACAGCCACACAGCTCCCAACACCCAGAGGGAGGGAAGGAACGTGAGCCACGAGCCTGGCTCCTTCCCACGCCTTTCCTGCCCCATCTCTGTGCAAAATGAGAAGTCCTGAGCCCGTGGTGATTTTCCCTCTGGGAACAGGGCGGTGGATGAGCAGACAGACAGACAGACCGACCTGCAAGCAGCTTCTGGAATCTGTTGTGTCCATGCTACTGAGCACAGCCTGGATGGGCTGGAAGGGTTTGAGGATCCGGGGGTTTTACTCAGCAGCCACGCTGAGGAAGCAGGCTCCATTCCCAGGGAATGGCCAGAACAGCCCTCGGGGTCACCCAGCATGGTGGGTGCTGGATTTGGGGTACACACACACACACACACACACAGCCAGCTCAGGGGAGGGGGAAAACCTCCCCCAGACATGTCTGTGCTGGGTCTGAGCCCCACCAAAACACAGCTGAGCCTCCCTTCAAGGAATGTCCCAACACCACTGGGGTCACCTCGGCTCCACTGCAGCCATGCCAGAGGGGGAGGAGGGAACAAAGAGATCAGACAGAAGAAGAAAACCTTCCCTGCTGGCACAAAGCCCCGTGTACCAAAGCCCCAGTGCCACCCTCTCCACTGCTGACCTTCCCCTGCAGAGAGCCGGCACAGCCCCAGCAGCCGCCCCCATCCCGGGCTGCTCACTCGGGAATGTAGTCCCTGAAGGAGTTAAAGCTGAGGCTTCTGCCTGCAGAGTTCAGGGTGGAGCTGGCTTGCATCTTGGGAATCTTCTCCATGAGTTTGGACACTGTCCTCCTCTTGAAGGAGCCGGGGGAGAAGTGCCCCTGCCTGAGCAGCTCCTGGTAGAGGCTGCTGAACACGGCCACCGGCTCCTCGTAGCTGTCCCGCGTGGAGATCTCGTAGAAGGGAATCTTGAGGGCTTTGGAGAGGTTCTCCCCGTCCTCGGTGGACACCATCCTGTCGAACTGCAGGTCCTTCTTGTTGCCCACGATGACGACGGGGGGCTGCTCGGCGGCGCTGCGCTTGGGGCTGGCGTGCAGGTGGTTGATGAGGAAGCAGAGCCGCATCACCTCGTCGAAGCTGCAGCGGTCCGTCACCGAGTACACCACGGCAAAGCCATCGCCCCACTTGATCTTCTCCTCGATCTGCAGGGAGTCCTCCTCCTGGAGAACACAGGCTCCTGTTAGTACAGCTGGAATGCGAGATGAAACCTTGGAAAACCTCCCGAGGGCGCGGCGCCGTCTCCATGAAGGGTTTGGGGACAGCAGTGGTAATGCCAGCAGCCTGGGGCAGGGATGGGGTGGATTAAGCAGTGTGGCAGGTGGGGACGGCCATCAGCCCTGTCCTGGTGTGGATATTGGGGGAATCAGTGCTCCCTTGAGCTGCCAGGATGCTCCACTGGCACAGGAAGCACAACTGTGCCCTGCACGGGAACGGGGGAATATTTACCCGAAGCCACACTGCAACTGAGATTAGACATAAATTCACCAAAACACCCTTTCCGTGAGGTAACCCCCATCATATTCCAGACAGCAGGAATTAGGCCAGTGGAAGAGCAGGGCCTGCCTTCCCCAGCAGGCCACTCTGCTCCCATGGTGTTTTCCCGGCTGAGCTCACCTGTCCAGCCGTGTCCAGGATCTCGAAGTGCACCATCTCCCCATCGATGACAGCCACGTGCCTGTAGATCATTTCTGGGCAGGACACACAGAGAAGGTTGTGAGAGAACCCCCAGGGAGCAGCCACAGCCCACCTGGGTGGCCGAGAGGGCAGCAGTGACCAAAGTGTGGGGGCAACAAGGGAGGGAGAGGGGCTCCACAGGAGAGAGGGAGGAGGGGACATTTCTGGGATATTCCAGCAGAGACATGGCTTCAGTGCTCAAAAAATAACCCAAATGCAAAAAAACCACCCAAAACCCTAGAATTCAGGAGGGGACAGGCTCCAGGGACTTAGATGCCTCCTGTCCCTTAAAAGCCACCTCCCAGCAGATTGGGAAGGAATTTGAGGAACTGTTGGTTTGATAGTTGGACTCTCAGAGGTCTTTGCCAACCAAAAAAGTCTGTGTGATCCCATGACTCTAAATGATTCCATGTTCCCATGGCTGAGCCTGCAGCACTCCCCTGCACAGTCTGATGGCTCATCCCAATAGATTTTCCCTTAATAACAACGGAAAGGGAAAAAGGCATGCAGGACCAGGGAGGTGTCAGGATGTCCACGTGCTGTCTGTCTGGTTGAGGAGGAAGAAGAGGGAGCAGAGCTGGCTCTGCCATGGTGACAGCACCAAGGAAAAGGAGTTTTCCTACCTAGGGTTGGGTCGTAGTCTCCAATGAATCTCCTGGTGATGAATCGGACAGTCAACGCTGGGGAAAAAAACACAATGAGCCCTGTTGGAGTTGTCAGCCCTCTGGACTAATTTTTCTGCTTGCAAGGGCAAAGGAGCAGCAGGAGCAGGCACAGCTCAGGCAATTAAACCCCCTCATCTGATTACACATCTCCCTGCACCAGAGCCTGGCGAGGCAAAGCCCAAATTGCTGGCAAAACCCTCCCTGGAGCCTTTGGCCACAACATCTTTTCCAGGAAGCTGCTTTGGAAATGCAGTGCTGGTGCCTGGAGAGGGAATTTCTGGACAAAGCCATGGTTGGGAGGGTGAAGAGAGTGCAGGAGTGGAGGGTGGAAGTGGTGCTTCAAGGCGTTAATGATGATAATGGAGATGGGAGTGAAAGGTAGTGGAGAGGCTGAGAGATGGCTTGGAAAGGCGACAGGAGTGGAAAGTGAAATTAGTGGAACAAGGGAAAAAAACAAGTGGGAACAAAACCCCGAAAGAGCTAGGCAGGAGCACAGGGCCAGGAGGAGAGGAGGAAGGGAAACAAACCAGAACTGTGACAGAAGGATAAACCTCACTAGAACCAGGATGTGATGAAAACCCCTCCAGGAATAAAAGGGGAAATGAAAAGCTCACACCAAGCTGGAGCAACACTAGGAGCTCCCTTTCCCTTGCAACCCAGGGTCAGTTTGTCCCAGCTGCTCACCAGCAGATGTTGCTGGTGTCCTGCCCTCGCAGAACCACAGGATCTGTGTGTTTATCCCAGGAATGTGGAACCTCACATGAGCCAGGCTTAAATAACCACAGAAAGGGAAAGAGGGATGCAGGAACTTCTCCTGCCTCCCACACCTGCTAGGATCCTCTTTAGGGGCTTCACCATCCTCTCACATCCCCCAGTCTGTCTCTGGGTTTAAACCTGCCCAGCAGGGAAGGGATTTGAAGAAATAAACAGGTAATTCAGCCAAACTGCTCTGAGGCGATAACCAGGGATCCTGCAGGAGGCACCTACAGACCCCTTCAAAGAGGCGATGGAATTATCGGGGAGGGGGAGCAGGACGAGGTAGGCTCGGTCTCTAGAAAGCACCTGATTGTGTGTCATATGTCAGGCAGCCACCCAAAGCTGGAGCACATGGTGTGGGATGAGAAGAGGAGCCAATTAGATTGATTAAAAATTGGCTGGAGCGCAGGAACACGAGGGGAGCTGCCAGTGGGGGAAGCGGCCGCAGGCGGAGCGGCCGCGGCCACCCAGCCTTATAAGGAGCTTTTTCTCCCCATCCTGAACATCAGTCACCTCGGGAAGGGCTTTCCTTGGAGCTGAAAGGGTTAAATGTGCTTTAAACGTGGGGTGTGGGGATGGCTACGGGCTCAAGGGGTGATTTACCTGCCAAGGAGCCCGGCTGGGCACCTGGGGATGGCAGCGAGTGCGCGCCCACGTGCTGTCCTGTTTATGCAGCTACGGAGCGGCTCCAGCGCCCATCCATCTTCGCTCCACGTGCTGCAGGCAGAGCTCTGCTCCGGGTTATGGCCAAGTTTACGCTGGGCAGCAGCAGCAGAGGATAGCACAAGCCCCAGCTGGGCTGGATTTCCAGCCCCCGCCGCTGATTCACACAGCGCTGATCCTTAAAACCGCACGGCTGGGCCCCAAACCCGTCCTTGCTCGGAGGGTCTCGGGTCACCAGGTCCTGAAGGTTTCCAAACTGCTCCAAAAAACCCCAAACTCTTGCTAAGAATCAAGTCTTATTTTTCCCTTTTGCAAAGGGATTTGCCATTTGGTTGTTCCCACCCTTCAACTCGCCCGACCTGGCTCTGTATCCTATGGATGCAGCAGCTCGTCCCGGGGATGCTCCGGAGTGGGGCCCACTCACATCCTGCTAGGATAGGAGCTTGGCAGCTCTTGGAGGATGAAATTCACCTTCAGCTCCTCCTGCTTCACAGTCTGGCCAGGAGAGATGTCACCCCCGCTTGGGGACACGACTGCCTCCCCCGTCCTCCCTACAGGAGCTCAAGCGATGATGCTGCTGCTCTCGGCTCCTTCCTGGCCTCTCCTACACTCGATCCATCACCTGGGATGTCCCCTGCCGGCTGGGCAGGGACAGCAGGACAGGTGTCCTGGTCCCCAGCGCAGGGGCTGGCGGGCAGCAGGACCCGGCAGCTCGGGCACAGCCCTCGGGGAAGGTGACACGATGTCCCCTGGCAGGGGAGGACGTGCGGAACGGCGCCCAGGAGACACAGATGGCGAGGGACTCGCTCAGGGGGGCTGCATGCCTGCCGTCCCCGGGGGCTGCTCCCTGTTCCTGGCACGCTCCACGTATCGATTACTTCCCCGTGCCCCCATTCCATGGCCAGTGTCACTGTCACATTGTCACAAACCCCGCTGCTGCAAGCCGAACCTAACCGGAGGAACTTTTAAAGACCCTAGGCACGATCCCACCCTAAGGAGGAGGCACAAAAACCCCGCACCTGCCCACGGGACGAGCCCAAAGCTGCCAGGAATCTGCTGTGTGCCGGGTGGGATGCCCAGCAGCGGGGGAACACACGAGTTTGGGGTGGGGGCGAGCCAAAGGCTTCGTACATCACGTACAACCATCAGCTCCATCGGGGCAAACGTCGCCAGGGGTCCCCCCCATCCCGAGCTCCAGAATTGCTCAGGGAGAGCCGGGAATTGCTTCCTTCCATTTAATCAGGGAATTAGGATTTTTCGTTCATACCGATTGCTGTACGTGGAAACACAATTCCAGCGGCTCCCTCAGCCACAGGTGCCACTGCTCTGGTGCCTTCCCTTTTCCAGAGGGGCAGGACATTCCCTGTCCCCAAGGGCACGGCAGCATAGCTGTGTGCCCACACGGATCATGGATCCACAGTTTTCCCTGCCTCTCACCCCAGTCCTGCCACTCTGGGTGCTACAGGGGACACCTTTGTCCCCAAGTGCTCACAGCTGGGGATGGAGGAGTGGGAAGTAGGGAAGGATGATCCTCAGGAAGGAAAGGGGTGAAGGAGGGAGCTGAGATGCTCGCAGCACAGCGCGGAGACACAGACGGAGAGCGCTGAACAAGGCACAGGGAAAGGGAGTTTTCCTGAAGGAAAACAGCCCGGTGCTGTGGAGGAGGCTCAGCAAAGCTACTGAGGGCGCTGGGAACGAGCAGCGAATTCCTCTCACCCGGGAAAACCCAATCCCGAGCCCGGCTTTTAGCAAAGTTCTCCCGGTCAATGATGTGCACCCCGAATCCCCACGCAGCCGGGCGAGGGAAATGAGCCCCGGTGCAAAAGTGTCCATGTGGGAAACTCGAAGGGAAGGAATCACAGCGCCCTCAAAACCCACGGGTTGCGGGGGGGGACACCGGGAGAATGTCCCTTGTCCCCGCTTTCTAAGGCACATGGGAAGGTTGGTCCCTCTGGCCGGAGGGAGAATCCCGGGGGGATGCCAGGGCCATACCAGAGGGGTGCCAGGACATAGCAGAGGGATGCGGGAAGATGCCAGGGAAGTGCCAGAGGGATGCGGGGGATACAGGGGGGACACCGGGGAGCCCATTCCTACCTGTCTTGCCCACGGCGCTCTGTCCCAGCACGACGAGGCGCAGGGTGCGGGCCGGGCTGAGGCTCACGGAGCGGCGCAGGGGCCGCGGGAAGCTCATCCCGGAGCCGGGCCGGGGCTGCCCCGGGATCCGCCGCTCCCCGCTCCACCGGGCACTGCTCCGCCGGCTCCGCCCCGGGGGCCGGGCTGGGCTCAGTCCCAGCTGATGCCCTCCTCCTCCTCCTCCCTGGCCAGCGGAGGCGGTCCTCATCCCATCCCGGAGGCGGTTCGGGAATTGTGCCTCAGTTTCCCCGCACGCAGCAGCGCTTCCAGGAGCGGGAAAGCTGCGGCCGACAAAGGGGCAAAGCCAGGGTTGGACGGGGCTCGGAGTGATCTGGGTTATGGAAAGTGTCCCTGTGCACGGCAGGGGGTGGCACTGCACGGGCTGTGAGGTCCCTTCCATCCCAAACCTTCCCGGGATTCCGTGAGTTTATGAAAGTGAGGAAAGAGGGATGTGGTGCAGCACCTCCCCAGCCAGAGTAACATAGCCAGAGTGCTGCCTGCCCCCAAATCCCGAAATCACCATTTTCCCCGTGTTTGTGCACAAGAGAAGTCAGTGATGACAAGAGGAGCTGACAGCCCCGGCTTTTCCCCTTGTCCCATGAGCAGGGCGAGGAACGAATCCTGGCTCTGCACAAACCAGCGACTAAATCCCCATGGATACCCAAGTGCAAGGACTCCACACCAGCCCTGGAACCGAACTTTGTGCTGTGTTTTGGTGCAGCAGCACCACCAGGCTGTACCCAGATATGCAGGGAACGTGTAGCAGCTCAGAGCTGGCATGGATCTGCCTTGGGCATCCTGGGAAGAAGGGACAAGCCTGGCAACACCTTGAGCAGCATCTTGACTCTCTCTCCATCAGACTCCAGAACATTTCTGACCCAGGGATGCAGATCCCAGGTGACACCAGTGCTGCAAAAAAAGAAGCTGGAAGAAGGGACCTGGCCAAGGATGTGGAGCCTGCAAACACCCACATCGGGGACTCAGTCCCTTTCCCAAAGGCTGCAGTCATTTCTCTGGCACAGGGATCTCTCAGCCTGACCATCTGGGGTGACTTGGCACAGCCCACTCGGTGCTTGAGGGAACATGAGCCCACCTGGTATTTATAGCCCCTATCAGGTGTCCAAAGGGAACATCCTGGTGCCCACAGGGACATCAGCACTCAACCAGACACAGGGTTATCGGGATTACAGCTGCTGCCAGCAGGATCAGAACTGGAGGAGGCCCCTGGATAACACAGGGACTGTTGTGGAGAGCCTGGAGAGCCAGTAGACCTCTCCCAAAAACCCATCTTGCCATCACGCTTGTCTTCCTTGTGCATCAGCCCCTGGAAAAAGCCCTGCTCTGGCTTCTCCAAAGCCAAAAATCAGGCTCACAGCTACATCTGGGGCCCAGAAAACAACAGCGAGGCAATAAACAGATTTTGGGACAAAAGCTGATTCCCAGCTGGGGAACACGGGGTGTCAAGAAAAAGAAGTCTCCGTGACATTCCTTCCCTATTTTTAGCCCCATTTCCTACGGAAATGAGATGTCTGCAATCAAGTCCTCTTCTTGCCTGATCCTCTCTAAGACCAGTTTTAATACATTGCCTGATTCCAGGCAAATGAGGGAGAAGCCACAGAGAAAACTCTTTTCCTGTGAGTTTTGTGACAAAAAATGGGCAAATCTCACAGAAAATCCACCCTTGCACTTTGGAAGGCAGGAACTGGCTGGGGGAATGCAGAGTAACAATTCCTGCTGCTCCAGGTTCCTGCTGTGCTCCCCTCAGATGCAGCACAGCCCTGGCAGCTGGGCAGTCACACTTGCCTTAAATCCCAGTGTGTTAACAGCACGTGGATTTCTGGGGATGAGGGAACAAAGGGACAAGAAGGATGGAGTTAAAATGGAAGCACAGCTGCACTCATCCCACAGACTTCCAATGTCACCTTGGGAAAATTACCTCTCTTCTTACCACTTCCATGACCACTATGACCAATCCAATACCAGCTGCTCCAGAAAAATATATCCCTGGAAAAGGAATATCTTTAGAAAAAGGTCAGTGTGAGCCCTGGAGCTGGGGAATTTGTGTCCCTGGCAGCAGAGCTGGGAGAAACTCCTGCTCCTCACACACAGCTCTCCTTGGTGTGGTGGAAGCCACATGCATGTTCCCACAGGAGCACCCAGCCCACGTTTGCCAGGGAATATCTGGCTGGATGACAGTGGAAACAGGATTTTATCACCAGTGACTGATCACTGGATAATCCACCTCCAGCATTCCACAGCAGAGCCAGGTGGGAAAGGTGCTGGAGATATTGTGTCCTGTTGAAATATTTGTGGCCAGGCTATTCCATACTTCAAGACACGGATCCTGCTCTGGGAACCAAGCCAGAGGCTCCCATGAATCACAGCCCTAAAAACAGAAAATCAGCTGAAATGAAAAGCTGGCCTAAAGCAAAGAGCCAAATCCCCTCAGGCTGTAGTCTGGGATGGAGGGGATCTCGTTCCATGGTCCATAGCACTTTCCTAATGGATTGTCAGCTCTGCTCAGAAACTGAACTTTGAGGCTTTTGAAACCGGGCAATGGTGGTTTTTCACTTAAGAAAGGAAGATAAAATAACATCACTCCTTTTTCTCTCGCTTTTCTCCCCTTGAGATGATCTAAAAGCATGGAATGCCAACAGATCCATGCAGGAGCCAACTCGTTCAAAAATGATTGAGGTATCTCAAACTTTGGTTCCCCAAGGTTTAGCTCCTCTTCCGAGCCTCCATTTGAAAGGCTCAAACCCTTTTCCAGCTCACCCAGCACATTTAATGGCCACTCATTAATTACTGCACAGACATTGCCATGTGCAGCTCCATCAGGGAATGCTCTCCAAGGATATAACCAAAGCCACACTGCCCTGTCCATAAACATATTTTGGCTTGCTGCAACAAACCCAGCCTGCCCAAGTCTTCCCAACCTTCAGCCCCTCACCTCCCTTGATTCACCCTGTTCCTTCTGACACCAATATTCCTATGAAACCTCTGCATTCACATGCAGGAAAAAGGCACAGGGACACAGATCCCAGTTGCTTCTCCATTTGCTATAAATAGAGAGAGGGAAAACAGATGAAAGACCCCTTGTCCAGGCACAGACTTCTCCACATGGGATTTGCATCAACATGGACCCACTGGGAACACATTCCCTTTCTTTTTTTTTTTTTTAAATAAAAGGCTGCTTTTTAGGTCACAGGAGATAATAAAACTTCTAGTGCAAGAGAAATCCAATCAACAGTTTCCTGATGTCCTGTTCCTGCCTGCTGCTGAAGCGGATTCCGACACGCGGCTGGATCGTGCTGAGAAAACAAATCTGGCTCCACGTCAGAGCTCAAAGACTCCTTCCCAAAGCTGTGAGGGATAAAAATCACAGGGAAGGGGCAAATTAACAGCATTTCCCCTCCCTCCTCAGGGCCTGAACAACACGTCCCGAGAGCTTTCCCAGCTGCTTTGCCCCTGGATGAACGTCGGCAGCTCACGGGCTGGCAGAGCGCGTGATCCAAATATCCTGATGGAGCTGCTAAATCCTTCTGCTGCCCCGTGGCTTCCAAAGAGAGTGTCCTGCACTTTGTTTTCCTGCAGGATCTGCTTGTTGGAAGGAGGACAGTGCCACAGACCCCGTCTGTCAGGCTCCATCAGAATCCACAAACAGCTCCTCACAGCTGGAAGCTCCCCGCTGCAGGAATGGCTTTGCTTGGGAAGCTGATTTTAGAACACAGAGCACTGTGCTGGGGGAAGGAAGACTAAACCCATCCTGGAAGTAACTTAAACCTCCAGAAATGCTGCAAAAAAGTGATCCTGCGTGAACCTATAATCACAAGAAGGATTTTGTGTGAAACACAAGTCCAAGCCCCTCGAAGCTGCAACATCCAGGGCATTGGAGGGGTTTGAACAGCATCAGCCTCTGAAATGAAGGAAACCTCGCTCCAAAAAGCAGCTGGAGCTAAGGGGGAGGGAAAAACCTGGAGCCACAAAGGAACTCCAGTGCCATAGGCCACTCTTGAAAGGGCAGAGGAGGAGGTCAGGGCTGGGCTCACAGAAATTAGGGATGCAACCTCTCCTGGAAGAGGGGAGGACAATGAAGGGTCTGAGGGGACACACACACACCTGGGATCCAGGGAAAAGCAGGGCCAGGGATCTGCTTGGTGTTCCTGCCCAAAACAGGGATACCATGGGAGACAACAGAGCAGCAAAGGCACCTCCTGAATCATTCCTGCCAGCTATTCCCGAGCAAACCTAGCAGCTGGCAAGAAAACAACGCTTCCTTATGATGGGAAATGTCAGGGCTGCGGAGCCAGTTGTTCTGCAGCCTCGGAGCCCCGCTGGCATTCTTGGAAAGCACAGCAGGAGCAGCACAGGCAGCGGCTTTGTGGCCAGCGGGCAGGGATCAGCGCTGGAATTCACTCCCAATTCCCAGCACATGCCCTCTGCTCCCTCCCTCCCGGGGGGGACAGACGCCACAGGGGTGGCAAGAGCTCAGTCCTGCTTCTTGTCTGACCCACGTGGATCTTCAGCTCTGGGCAAAGCATCTCAAATTCCACCTGGATCTGTTTTGTGCTGGCAGATGAATTTCCACTATGAATCAGTACTTAAGGAAAAAAAAAAATCTCAAATCTCTTTTGTTGAGAAATTCCTGCTCTTAAACTGTTTCAGGGCCATATAGCACCAGAAGGGTGACAAGGATCACATCCCTGACACTTCATCCCTGAGAGCATTCCTGCTTCCACTTGGAACAACAAAAAGCTTTTGATTTAAAGTCTCCTGAAGAAAACATCAGAATAATCCCTTTTTACATTGATCTGATGAAATAATTCCAACAAACCTGCCTATTTTGCATTATAAACTTTTCAAACCAAAAAACTTCCTGATACTGGTTGGATTTTCCCTCCCTGAATTTTTGTCCCCCCAAAATGCTGTGAAACCACCCTAATTTTGTGTAGTATCTCCCTTGGATCAGAACTACATTCCCAAGGGCTTTTTGGGGGATCAGACTTACAGACCTTAAGCCCTTTGCTTTTCCTTTGACTCCACAGCAGCCTCTGCCCT